TTCTCCACTCAAAAAACCCCAGAAAGCTCTTGTTTTCTGTTTCCTCACAGCCAACTATTACCAAAAGGACTACTTGTTATCATCCTGCAGAACTGTTTACTCATCCCATCCCTGCATGAACTACCAGGAAAACCATGGCCAAACCCTGCCTGTCTGCAAGCAGGGAGAAATGCTCTCCTTTGCACCATCCTGCAAAAAATAAGGGGCTGGATTTTTCCTTGCCCTTGCCCTAGGGGACAATAGAGAATACCTAGAGCTGCAATCCTGCTGGCACAAAGCCTGTTGCAGGAAACCACAGGCAGGATACCAACAACCTCCACTTCCACACAAACCTCTTTGGGTAAGGTTGCTCCTGCCTGTGCTCTGTTGGACAGCTGCTGCCCAGCTGCCGCCCAGCTGCCGGCACTACGGCCTTTCTGACCAGCCTTAGCACAATAAAACTGCAAATTTGCTAGTGGTGGACTGAGTCCGTTCACCCAGATCATCAATAAAGATATTAAATATCACTGGGTCCAACACAGCTCCCTCGGGGACACCACTAGGGGCTGAATGTGGCACCATTCACTGTGACTCTCTGGGCTCGGCCATCCAGCCAGTCCTTAACCCAGCAAAGGCTGCACCTGTCCAAGCCATGGGCTGCCAACTTAGTATGGAAATTTGAACTCAAGTGTGTGTTTCAGGATGGGTTCCAGAGTCTTCATTTGGGATGTTTCTGCTTCCATAGATTGTGAATTTCACAAGGCTGATGGTCAGGACTGAGAGGTAGAGCTCAGGTGGAATAGGAGGCCACCAAAATTCTGGGCGCACTGTGAGTGTTGTACCTGCCTTGTGAAACCCATGGGGCAAAAGTGGGAGTATTGATCTCAGAAAATGATCCTTACCCAACAGAACATTTTGCTTTAAAAGTAGGGTAAGATATTCCTTGATGAGATGGATTTCTTGAGGCTTTGCAAAACTGAACTGGACAAGGGAATTCCTACTGACTTTTCACTTTACCTTGATCTTTTGCTTTATGCATGTCCTGGAAGAGTTTGTTACCATGTGCAAATTTCCTCTAAGGCAGACAAAAAGTTCATCTACCAGACAGACCACATTGTCTGGGGCACTCTTGTGTTTTGGACCAAGTCTACCTGCCAGTCATGACTTCCAGGACTTTCCTGTCCATCTCCTACAAGTGACTCTGAGGCTGTGCTCCAAGACACAGATACCAGTCGTAGTTAAGAAAGGAGAAATGTTATTTATTGTGTTTTAATTTCCTTAAATTAAATGCTTGCTCCATAAACCTGTTTGAAAAACTAAAGCCTTTTCTTGCCAGAAAAGGTCACATTTCGGATTTTTTTCTTCCTATCTCAGTCTGGAACAAGAGATTGGCTAAGGAAGCAGCTACCAGATAAATTTAGTTTAGGGGAACAGAAAATTATTTTATGTGTCAATGCTTGTTGCCTGTGTGAACCAGCCTGCAAAAACATCTGATTGGTTTTTTTCCCTGAGAAACATGGAGAACAAGCTGTGAAGTCCAGAGGCTTTTTGAATAAAATGAATAAAAAAATGCCATCAGTGCATGCCTTATGGTAGGGGGCTTCTCTCTACTGCGCTCCCCTTGTCTCTTCCAAATAAGATGAGATTAACCTCAGTTTGTCTGTGTAAAGGCCAGGAATCTTCTTAAAGGGGGCTGTCTCAGCTGCCTCTGCCTGGGGAGGAGACTGGTAGAGTACAGAGTGGGGGCTGATGTGGCTTCTGCCAGTGTCTCTCTCTCTCTCTCCACTGACTGCAAAATAAGCGGACAACTCCTCCCAGACACTCTCTCAAGTGCTCAGTTTGAAAATGAAATAAACTGATGAATAATATGTAACTTCATCTGACAGAAGTCAAGCTGAATTTTCAGAGAAAAAGAAAATTGAACTGGACGTCACTCGGAGTATCATTTCCCCATTTCTGTATTAGAATAGTTTTTTTAATATGATGCTCCAAGACAAAGCACAACCCTGCTAGAAAATGAAGGCTTCTGGAGAAGCAGTTTTTCTGGACAAAAGTGAAATGAATGTTGAATGCTTTGCTGAGTGCTCTTCAGAAAGGCAGGAATGACTTGAAACTGTATGATGTGTTTCTCTATTACTATTTGTCCTGACAACTGAAATTAAGGTAATTTCCATCTTTCAACCAACTTCTGCTCTCACTTGTACCATTATATATACATTGAAAACAGTTGCATGATTTGTTTTCTTGTGTGACATTGACATATTTTTCACCTGTTGATCCAATCACGTAATTTTTATCTCCTTTGCATATATCTTAACTGAAAATCCATAGACAGCTTTTCTTACTTGTAGAGTTGAAATGGGGAAGATAAAATACAGTAGAACAAAAATACAGGTTTTGATTTAAGGGGTTTTGAGGTGAAAAGAAAAATATCTAAGCGCCTTAGGTTCCTGCAAGGTTCTCCTTACCATCACTGACCTGATGGAGGGCTTCTCAGCTGATAGAAACATAATATCAGAGCATATAACCCTGATGAACCATCCACAAGGTCTGATGCTTTGTAGGCTGGAGCCTCCATCTGTAATTCCATGGAGCCTGCAGCAGGAATGGCATATGATGAATGAACTTATTCTGTGAAATGTGGCATTATCCAAGAGCTAACTTTGCAGCATTAAACATCAACCAGGAACAAGCTACCTCACAGAAGCATTTTCCTACATTCTCTGGAAATGATGGACACACAATCAGAGAGAGGACACCTGTCCCCATGTAACCAAGCATTCCTCTGGCTCCTCCCAAAGAGCTAGACAGAGCCTTTTGGGTCAGGTGGGTAAGATGCCATGGCATATGAAAATTTGGAGATGGAAATAGCAAGAGTTACTAACAGGGTTTCCAATCACAGCTGTCTGCCAGCATAAATCAAGTGCCTGCACACTCAGCATCAGTGTCCTTGGGGAAGATGGAGAAAAATAAAGACTTTTTGGACTGCAGAAACTATTTACCATCTCCTATCATCTGAACTGTGAAGAAAATAGATGTGTTGGTACACTTCTTTGTTTTGGCAGTTAACTCTTATCTGATGTAATCTCCAAACACCTCTGTAAAATGGTGCTTTCTGCCTTGCAAGTATTGCTTAGCTCCTGACAGCAAGCAGGAGGGTGAGCAAAGCTCCCCAGCAGATACCTGCTCTCTAACCACTGCCTACCCTGCAGCAAGGGTGTGAAGAGCAGAATGACATGATGTGATGAGGAACAGGTCAGAATACTTCTCAGGCAGAGGCAGAGATCAGGGCTGAGGTCTTTGTGAGAAGGTTCCTGTACCAGAGGCCAGCAGAAATTGTGGCAGAGATCAGGAGCAGCCCTGCTGTGAAGCTCCTGGCCTGTGGGCAAACCTGCCCTGGGGCTTGCTGTCACTGAGTGGTCAGCAGGAAAGGAGAGAGTAAGTGGTGAAGACACAGGTTAGGACTGTCCTCTCATCCCTGGAGAACCCTGATTATTCATGAAGATACTTCTCTTCTTCCTTAGGAAGGAAGGAGCTGCTTAGGAACAGCATACCCCAGCCTGAGCTGAAATAGGACACAATGATGGTCAGGACCTCAGTCTAAACTATTCATTGCTTAAATGTTGTCTGTAGTATCATGTAAAAGCTACTGCCTTTGCAAGGACTTACCCTGCATGCCTGAAAACTGCAGCATCATACAAACTGAGGGCTACAAATATCTTTCCAGTTAGAGCTGTGGCTCTGGTGGTAAATGTTCCAGGGCCACTTGCTGTCACAGTACTGAATCCTACACATCCCTTGCCTGCAAAACTTGCTAATCACAACCCACTGGATAGATGGTCCCTGTCCTGTGCTGCCTGTGTCATGCTCTGGCTGACCTGAACCACCTACCCCCATGGATGGCATTGAATTCTGGCAGCCAGGAGTGCTCCCTGACATGCTCTCCTGGTGCAGACATAGCTCTCCTGTCCTCCAAAGGCAGCATGTCTTTGTCTGGCTGTAGAAGGCAGATTCTTCCTTCACTAATTAAAAAAGGAAAATGTCACCAGCACAATTTTGGCCTGAGCTGTGGAGTTTCTTTGTACTTTGAAGGAACTTGGTGGCAGGTCTCTCACTGGCTTCAGTCAAAGCAAGATCCAAACATGGTGTTGCAGATAAGCCTTCTTCTAGGATAAAGTGAATTTAGACTTTAAACCACTGGTCAGAGGCATTACTGATTTTTCTGCACCTATTTTTAAGCTAATTTTCATAAAGAAATTAGGCTAATGTGACTTGATTGTAAGCCATCTTCCCAGTCCTACTAACTTTTGATCCTGTTGGCCAGTTTCAACTCACCATCCACCTGGGATTAAATTCCTGCCTGCACACAGACAGAGAGGCAGCACTCTCAGAAAAGGACTGTGATGTGATCTCTACTCCTGTTGCATCCTTGAGAATCATCAGGCCACAGAGATGCACAGAGCACACAGCATGATGATGCTTCTGCCACAGCTTCGAGATGTTTAGGTATCAACAAACCTCAAGATAAAAATCTGTAAGAAACCTGACTTTTCCTGCTCTTAGTGCTTACAGTTGTTGCTACTGGTACTGCTCAGCTTTTTAGGTTTACGCAATACAGAACTTTGGTGACCAAGAATCATCTATAGAGTGAAGTGCTCAGGAGTTGGATACCACTCCAGAAAACTGAAAAAACACTAACATATTTGAAAGTCTTGGCACCTGAGACATTTACATCAAAAAACAATGCACATTCATATAGTAGAAACTCAGTAATTGAAAGTTGTCACCAAACATTTTGGTTCAGAAACTGAATTTCTGACTTACATATTTGAGTGCTTTGCAGTAAGTCTTTGGTAGCTACCTGTTCATGTTCTAGTCATAAGAAGAAATGAGTCCTTTGTCTCCCCAAATTACTAGTTTCACTGCTGCTTTTTCTGTCTTAAAACAGAAGCCTCCACAGTGGGACTTTAGATATTGAGTTGATTTTCACAAAAGATTTCACTTGATTTGTTGCAGTCCTTTGAAGTAGCTGCTGGAGAACAGTACAAGATTTGCCAGAAAAATGGATGAAGACTATTATTTAGATTATAATTCCTCATATGAATACCCTCATGAAACCAACGTCTGTGAAATGGGTGACTATTTCACATTTAACATCTATCTCACTGCTGTCCTCTACATTCTGGTATTTTTCCTCAGTCTGCTAGGAAACACTTTGGTGTTATGGATCCTATTGAAATATGAAAACCTTACATCTTTAACAAACATCTTCATCATGAATCTCTGTATCTCTGATTTAGTCTTCTCCTGCATGCTGCCTTTTTGGGTAGTGGACCAGTCCTTTGGATGGATTTTTGGTGAGTTCCTTTGCAAAGCATCAAATGCTATTTTCTCCATTGGCTACTACAGCGGTGTATTCTTTTTGACTCTCATGACTATCCTGAGGTACTTGTTTGTAGTGAACCCCCTTTCAACTCTGAGATCCCAGACGCAGTGCTGTGGTGTTCTGGTGTCCTTGGCTGTGTGGACTCTTAGCATCTTAATTGTGGTTCCTGAGGTGATTCACACCACAGTGCAAGAAGACTTGGAAGACCACAGGTTCTGTGATTATGCCGATGGGAATTGGAAAAAAGTGGACATTTACGTGAGAAATGTACTCTTCCTGTTTTCCTTTGGAGTCATCATATTCTGTTACTTCAAGATACTCAAAATCCTGCTTAGAGCAAGATCTCGCAGAAAGCACAGAACTGTGAGACTCATCCTCATTATTGTGGTGGCTTTTTTCCTGTGCTGGGCACCCTACAACATCCTCAGCTTCCTGACTACTTTTCCACCGCCTACCTGTCAGTATGTGAAAGACTCCAACCTTGCCTTTCACATCAGCCGTAAAATTGCTTTCTCCCACTGCTGCCTCAACCCTGTGCTCTATGTACTTGTTGGAGTCAAATTCAAGAGGCATTTGGCACAGTTATGCAGTCTGTGTTTACACTGCAGCAATGGTCAACCTTCCAGCCCCAGCACCAGCAAATTCCAGCCTGAAGGGACATCCCTCTACTGAAGCAAGACCTAACTATTAGAGATTAATCATGAATGAACTTTCAGATTTTGTATGCTATGGATAGCCTCTAATTCTTAGAGGCAATTCCCTGAGAAAGACACACAAATTTACTCTTTGCAAACATGATGTGTATGGAAGATAACAAAATGTATTTGCAGTGGGATGAAGAGATGAGAATGCCAAGAAATTACTTTACTGGCTTGAAAGTCTTAAGTTCACAATTTTTTGAACAGTGAGATGGATTTTCTCTCACTTGTACTCTCTTTTGAAAATAAAAAAAAATGGCTTTTTCCTTTAGGCATTAAAACATAGGTTTTAACATAAAAGTTGTTGCATATCTCTTTCTCACCTGACTTAAAATACTTGGATTGTATATAGCAATAGACACACACGTATTTTTGTAAATTTTAATGCCTTTCAATGTTTATCAGTCTTTATCAGTTTACTCATTGGTCTTTTTTTGTGGGGAGTGATATATGTGGATTAACTGTTCTGACAATAGCTGCAAGACCTTACAGTTTCTGAAGTTCTCAGGGCATATGTTATTTTACCTTTGATAGATAAATATATATAAAACTAGCTTTGTGTAAAAGTAGTCTTTTTGGTCTGAAATGGAAACTTTAGGAGAGCTCTAGAAGATGCTAAACAGATACTTCACTAGGATATCAGTTTTCCTTCTGTTACTGTTGTGTAAAAGTAGTCTTTTTGGTCTGAAATGGAAACTTTAGAAGAGCTCTAGAAGGAACACAGCTGCTAAACAGACACTTCACTAGGATATTAGTTTTCCTTCTGTTACTCCTCTTTGCCACAGGATTCTTCCAGACTTTGAATACAATTTCAGATGATTGCAGCAGATGATGATCAACAGCTCATCTCCTGGGCAGAGTGGGAGCCTATTTGCCTCCAATTACTCTTTCCCTCCTTTTCTCCCTTCGACATGGTATACTGGGAACACTTAAACTTATAAACAGGTTATAGTGCAAGAACAAATGGCTTTTTAAATAGCAGGATAAAAATTTCTTGCTTAATTTGTAAAATTAATGTTTGGATTTTTGTTTTGTTTGTTTGGTTTTGGTTTTTTAAACTGATACCCTTCTTCATTCTAGCTCAATAGGTATTTTTAAACCCAGGCAGTGTAACATATAGTGCCTACTCCAGTGTAGCTGAATGACAAAGTCCCTGCTAAGCAGGATATTTAATTTCCCAGCATTTATATAGAAAGCAAAAGTAGTTTTGCAGTGGCACCAAGCAATGGTTTAGCAATGGTTCTAAGCCACAATTTGGCTTTTCAGGCATCTGTCTCAAAATGTCTGTGCTGTTTCTACACTATTTCATTTGACCTCTAAAGATTATCTGGAGCAGACAACAGATTATTCACAGCTGCTGTGTAGTTTACAAAAAGAAGAAACTCAGACAGGCCCTGTATCCTATTTCTGATTATACCCAGAAGCAAGAGTACCTAAGGAAGAGCATAAGAATGGGGTGAACATACATGACGTAGACCCATACAGTCTTCCTAGGGCTTGTCCATAGTTTTTAATTTGTGCTTTGGTTTAGTTGCCAGAACAGTGTTCACATCATGTCCCTTTCCATCAGATGCACCTTTCTGAACAGATCAGTCCTGGTATCTCACTTACTACAGCAACTGCCTATAATGTAAAAAATTTTAAAATTTTACTCATTAATTCTACAGGGTTCCAATTCACTTGTGTTCAAACAAACCACGGAAAGATAGAAGTTGTCATTTTTTCTGGCTGTGGTGGAGACCAGCCTTTGGCTACTGCTACCTGACAAGAAACATTTGAAATTAATGTGGCTTCAAGAGACTTTGGGCTGGGGACTGAATACTGTCAATTATTGAATAATTGCATTGATTTATTCAATATTATTGAATTATTAAATAACTTATTGAAGTTTAAATTAGTCCAATTTCTTCTATTCTGGCAAGCCAGGACCACTTAATTGTTACCAGCAAATCTCCACAAGAGTCCACTGTGACCATGAGTACCAAGTAGGACTCATGCACCTACATAATTTCAGCAAGCTGTCGTTCAACTCATTGTCCTGGAGCCACATGACTGTGAAATATTTACTGTTAATATATTTTACATCTGTCTAAAACAAAGTTGAGAATTACAATAGAAGCACAAAGTGTGAAATGATCCTGCTCTGCCCAGGTTTTAGCAAATTATTTAAATCTGTTTGTGACTTCAGCATATTTTGTTATTTTATTACAGTGTAACTGAGTATGTAAAAATAATTATTGATATTACCTGTATTGCTGCCATAACCAAAGTAACTCAGAATGCAGATATGCTGCCTTCTAATATTATGAAGTAGTATTAATAAACATTCAGAAATCCAATGGAATTCTACCCTGTGACTATTGTTCTCAGCCTCTGATAACCACCTATTAAGATATTTTCAGTTGAAGAAGTAATTGTGAATTGTCATAGGTTAATTTAGCATGGAAAAGATTTCTGGAGGTGATCCACTACTCCATGCTGCTCACAGAAGTTTTATCTCCCTGATCAGACAAGGTCACTCAGGGCTTTATCTGGTCAAACTGATAATCTCCAAGAACAGGGACTCCATAATTCCTCTGAGTCCTTGTTGCAATGCTTATTGCACTCTTATGGTGGATGTTTTTGCTTCCACACAAACAAAAATTCTTTTGCTGCATCCTGGGATGTTACTTTTTCCTTGTCTTCTCCATATCTGGTCAAACTGATAATCTCCAAGAACAGGGACTCCATAATTCCTGAGTCCTTGTTGCAATGCTTAGTAACTCTTATGGTGGACGTTTTTGCTTCCACAGAAAAAAAAAAAAAATCTTTTGCTGCATCCTGGGATGTAACTTTTTCCTTGCCTTCTCCGTGTCTTCACATTAGAGAATGGAAAAGAGCCATCAGATCTCCCCTAAATCTTGTTTTTTCCTGGGGCTACACATATCCCAGCCAATTTAGTGTCCTCATATGTCATGTGCTCCCACTCCCTGTCCATCTTGGTGATCCTTCATGGGGCTGACTTCAGTCAGTCATGTCTCTTACATTGGTGGCCCCAAAACTAGATACTCTACTGCAGATCACGAGACCTGCAGTGCTGAGACATTCTCAGTGACCATGAGGATGTCAGGCAGAGTGGAATAAAGGTTTCCCTCAGCCTGATGGCAGCACAGGCCCATAAACAGTTAGTACTCACTGCTGCAAGGCCATATGCCTGTGTTGTTTTTAAGTTTTTGTCCACTCAAAATCCAAGGTCTTTTCTGGCAAAGCTGACCTCTCACCCCATGTTTAAGGAAATGCCCTGTTTCCACTAAAATCAATGATAATTTGCTTCTGATCATAATCAGAGCAAGAATCAGATGCATAAATGTGTGCAATTTCAGCCAAGCACAGCCTGTACTTTTTCACTGCCATAAGTGTTTTCACTGACAGTCAGGATACCTTCATATTCTTATTGTTTTGAGATATTGAGTTTGTTGCTATCATAAATAAAATTGTACTTTATCTTCTCCTTATGGCTACTCTGCAGCTGAAAATGCCCTTGCTCATCCACAGAAGCAAAATACTGAGAAGGACAAAGAAAAGTGTGAGACTGGAGTACTCTCTCCATATTCAGGAACTGCTGAGGTAACCAAACTAAAACATATTTGAGTTTGTTTCATTCCTCTAAACAACGCTGCTTTCTTCCAACAAAGAGAAAAAAAAAAAAAAAAAAAACCAAAAACCTCTTTATCCCTGTGTTACCCATATAGATGTATATAAAAGACTCCGTTTCATTTAAACTGCACAGTCCAGAGTCTATGTCTTATTATTGCTGGTGCAGTTGAATCAGCACCAAACCAGATAAAATTCTTGGTACCTACTTTGTCCAAACAGGAGTGAAATGCAGCCAGTTCTGATTAGTGATAGTTCCTAACTCTGATGTGCTCTGGTGGAAGTCAGTCTCGGAAGCTGACCTGATATTTAGCAGAATATTCTTCCAAGCTCCTCAGCCACTTTGTCTAAAATGCCATATTTGCTTCTAGATGTTTTCCAGAGCTTTGCTGGTTCTTTTTATGTTGCCTACTCCCAGCTTTATACCTACTGACAATTATTTGTCCACCTATTCAAAACAGAATGCAAACAAATGCAAAAAGTGCTTCCAAAGCTTTCTCCCCACAGACACAGAAGGTTTCTGATGATGAACAGCAGCCTGTTGTTCAGTCTAGCTACAATGGTATGTTAATCCATTGAGGGTGACCAGGGGAACTGGGAGTTAGCTACCCTCATAAAATACCTCAAGTGCTAATGGAAGCAAAGCCCTTCCAGTCATTATACAACATCAATTAACTCTTGCAAAAAATTTTAAGAAAACGTGTAGCACATATAACAATAACATCAGACAGAATGGAAGGAACGCATTCTATGGTCTTTCCTTTTGGTGGCATGACTGACATTGCCTTTCCTGGCTAGTAAAACTGCAAATAATTCCCATCTAGCCCATCATGGTTTATGAAGAAGTTAATCAATAGATTTTATCAGAGTAAACATACAGGAAAGCAACGCTGGTGGAGCAGACTATGTTGGGTTTTTCTAGTGCAGCTTCCAAAAAGGAAAGATCTCTAACATCTTCTACTGCTAAGAAATGAGGAAATATGGAAAATTCTAAGAAAGTGTTGGTCAGCTATGGACCTAGTTGGAAACAACATGTTTTTGCCTGAAGAAATTGATGTGTACATAAACAGGCAAAAATTCAATAATTAACATCAATAACAAAATATTTCTGAAAGTAGCTTGTTACTACATAATTAAAAAGAGGAACAACCCATTCTAATTTATTATTTTTGAGGGAAAAGTAGAATTTCACACAGACTTTTTGAAAATTTGTAAAATAAAATTCATTGCAGTGAAATTATATGGGATTTGATCTACCATTATTTGTGTCTGATGACCCTGAGATTACTTTTGGAAGGCACCCAGTTGCCTAGAGATCAATGGAAAACAAACACTCATTTTCAGCAGATGCTCTTGGCACTGCTGCATGATTCAGCAAAGCGTGCCAAGAAAAGTAACCCTGAAGGTTGCTTCCAAACGGTGTAAGACATTCCACTGCATCCCATGCATCCCAAATGCAAATAACCTGCATTTCTGAGGGCACTAAAATGCTTTTGAGCTATTAAAAAAAACATACATTAGATGAAGATTAATCACCAAAACCTAAGGTCACTTAGTCATCTTATATGTGAAGGATGATGAAGACATGCCAGTGACCACCTAGTACATATATTTCCTCAAGACTCTTGAAAATTTGATGCTTTGATCTTCAGCTTAAGCTGATGTTTATGACGCTAAGAAAGTCACAAGCATTGTGGCAAGAACTGATGACAAACTGCTTACTCACAAATTTAATTTAAAATCTGTTATTTACCAAAGAAATGTGGGTAAAAAAAGCAAAGGAAGTTTTTGAAGTTTGCACTTCAAGTGCCAAACAAACATAGCCTATTTCAGGCACTGGAAAAGAAACCTGCTTTGATCTTCAGCTTAAGCTGATGTTTATGACGCTAAGAAAGTCACAAGCATTGTGGCAAGAACTGATGACAAACTGCTTACTCACAAGTTTAATTTAAAATCTGTTATTTACCAAAGAAATGTGGGTAAAAAAAGCAAAGGAAGTTTTTGAAGTTTGCACTTCAAGTGCCAAACAAGCATGGCACTGGAAAAGAAATGTCCTTTCAGAGAATCATATGCATTATGGGAGGGATAAAATCTGAAAAGAGGAAACAACCTACTTGTAGGAGCCTGGTGCTGGGAGTGTTAGGGACCCTGTGCCCCTGTACCCCCCACACACTGTCTCAGGAAGAAACCTCTTGTTCCAGTTTCACATCCGCTTTCTCCCAGTTTCTTACTTTTTGTGGACATACTAATCTCTCCCTATGTCTTTCACAGAGTCACTGAATCAATTAGGTTGGAAAGGACCTTTGAGATCGAGTCCAACCCACTACCAAACAAACACCACCCTATCAACCATTCCACAGCATTGAGCGCCACATCCAGTCTTTCTTTAAACACCTCCAGGGATGGTGACTCCAGCCCACTCCAATGTCTAACCATCCTTTCTGTGAAGAAATTCCTCCTAATGTCCAGCCTAAACCCCTCCTGGCACAGCTTGAGACTATGTCCTCCAATCCCTTCAGTTCAGGGATGAGGACTTTCCTTTCATCCACTGGTAAGAGCAGAGAGAGGAAATTGCTGCACACCAGATTTATCATGCCTGGCTTTCATATTTGCCTCAGTTGTTTGTGCAAAGAACTTGATGAACTGATGTGCAAATGAGAAAAAAAAAAAAAAAAAAGGAAAACCTCCATAGAGAATAGTCCTAAAAGCAACAGTCAGTACTATATTAAAAAGTATTAAAACAAACAACAAAAATTTATTAAGTTTGGTTTTGTTTTTTTTTTAGTGGTGCCCAGCAACAGGCCAAGGAGCAATGACCATAAGCCAAGACACAGGGAAGTTTCACCTCAGCGTGAGGAAGAATTTTGCATTGAGGGTGGACTGAACAGGCTGCCCAGAGAGGCCATGGAGTCTCCTCTCTGGAGACATTCCAAAGCCACCTGGACGCGTTCCTGTGTCACCTGCTCCAGGTGACTCTGCCCTGGCAGGGGGTTGGGCCAGGCGTCTCCAGAGTCCAGCCCAGCCCTAACGACCGTGATTCTGTAAAAAGCCACCTTGTGTGAAGGCACCAGAAACACCAGCCTCCCTGAAAGGAAACCACCCCAACGCTGCAGCTGTAGCCGAAAGCGACGATTTCTCCCCAAAGCCGCTCCAAACCCCTCGGCTTTCCCCGCGGCACTCCGCCACCTCCGGGCCCGCCCGGCGCTGCAGCCAGACACCGCCCCGGGTGCGGGGCGGCCCCTCCGCGGCCTCACGGGAGTTGTAGTCGGGCCGGGAGCGCCGCGGCCTCACCCCGGGCCGCCTCTGCGCGACATGGCGGCGGCAGCCGCGCAGGTACCGAGCGACCCCTCCCGCACACCCCCGAGGGAGCGCGGCGGGGCCGGGGGCGGGGAGGGGGCGGCGGGCGGAGGGAGCTGACAGGGACAGGGGGAAGTGACTTCGCCGGCTTCCACTTGTTGCTTCGCCGAGCTCGGCTTCGAGGGGAGGAGCCCCGGCGGGGCGAGAGTTGCCGGGCGCCTTAGGGGGTGCCCGGGTCGGCTCAGCGGCGGAGTGAGCGCGGGCATGGCAGGGGCACAGCAGCCCGGTGTGGGCTGGATGCTGGCTGTCACCGCCTGGGAGTCCCCGAGAACGGGGAGCCCCCGGGAACGGGGAGTCCCCGTCCCGTCTAGACCCAGTCCCCTGAAGTGTCATCGTGTCCCTGACTTTAGGCCGACATCAGCACTGCCCTCTGTTTTCTGCCCTCCTGCAGCTGCGGGGGGAGCGGAGTCACCCTGCTGGAAACCAAACACCCGCCGCGTCCGTGCCCTCACCCCGCTGTAAAGTGCTGACAGGCAAATATTTGCCGCGGCCCTAATCCCTCTTTGCCCTTGTGTCGGCAAATCTCCGGCGGATGGATAGGGAGAGGGTTTTGCTGGCACACGGGGCGGCTGGGGCTGTCTCCAGAGCAGATGCCGGGTTTGCAGCCGGCCCTCCTCCTCCGGCTTATGTTGATCCTGGTAATCCAGAGTGAGCAAGGAGAAGGAAAAAACCCAAGGTTTTAGTGAAATGGTTGTCTGCTGCCTTTGGACGCTGGATTCCACTCGGGCAGAGGTGCTGCGGTGGTGAGTCGGGCTGTGGAGGGGCTGTGCCGTGTTCTGGAAGCTGGTGAATGCCCTGGTGCTGCAGCTGCCCGAGCACAGGGCCCTGCTTTCTGTCCGGGTCACTGCGTCCAGCCTGCTGCTGATTTTTGCAAGGTTGGTTTGGCACACAGAGTTGGTCAGCTGTAGACTTCACTCTTCTGGTTTTGCCTGTCTCTTGAAACCGAGCTTGAAGCTTTAAATTTGAAGTTGACACAGAGGGAGAAGTACCAGGCCTTTGTTTCTTTAATGCTGAAGAGTCAAAGTGGATGATTTTATCCAGCTCTGACTTTGTATGCTCATGAAGGCAAGCTAGGGTGAAACTTTCAGGGTAAAACAAGTTCTCTGTCTGGTCAGTAACATGGCAACGTGTTATCTCTTACTGCCATGCAGTAGTGTGTTTTATGTTTTCCAGATTTTATGGTGTGCAAGGCAGTTTCTTGGAGTCTTCCAATGATCCTCATGGGAGTGCTTAAATTTAAAAAATGTTCCAGACCTTCCAAATAGTGTTTCCCAACATTCACATTTAGGAGACTACGCTGCAGTTCAAAAATTGCAAAACTGTGGTGCAAAACAACTGATAGTCAATTTTGCTCTGCTTGTTGTAGTACAAATATGTAATATCTGTAGTGTATATATTTGACAGCATTTGTTATAAACCTGGTTTCACTACTCCTTCTCAAGAACCTGTTAGTTATGGAGCCTGATTTTCGTGTATAAAGGAGTCTCTTATGTGCACCATTTGATAACAGTGAAAGAGTGTATTATGTTTGCAGTCCCACCCTCCACTGCTAGAGGGTTACATAAACGGAATAGGAATTTGTCCTAACATCCTAGAGGTAAGGTTCCTCTAAGACTTGTTTGGTACATGATCAAGACCTAAAGAAACAACTAGGGAGAGAAAACTAGTCAAGATGTAGTTGGTAAAGTTGCAGAAATTATGCAGTAGACCCAAGGAAAAGTAATGCTGAAAATTTTTTTAACCCAGATTATTTGTTTTTCTTAATTGATCGCATTTAAAAATTAACTATTGCTTATTTGTCAGGTAAACATCAAATTCTTCTATTACTCTTTACATGTTTTTGAGATTATTAGACTTAAGGGAATTGTAAGACCCCTAAGAGTTTTTATTGTTACACATTATAATTTTATTTTTTTTAATTACTGTGTGTTTATTCATTCGGTTTTGGGTTTTTATTGTTACACATTATAATTTTATTTTTTTATTACTGTGTGTTTATTCATTTGGTTTTACCAATGCAAGGACACTTTAGCAGCTTATATCTAGTCTAGTTCATATTTTGATGTAGTAATTCCATTTTGTTTGTGGAGAGGTGGCTGTTTGTGTCCAAAAGTTCTCTAATAGGAATAATGTAAAATCCTTTGCCCAAGTGTATTCTGAAGAAGGTTTTACAGTTTGTAACACTGGTAGAAAGAGCAGAACTTTTTCTGCAAAGTGCCTGGATCTCAGTGCAAGCACAGAGCTTTGAGGTGTATGCCCTTCCTTTGGTTTTATATTTTTGCCTGTGTTGGTGTTCTGTGTTGGTTGGTGGTATAGTGACCTCAGCAGATATTTACAAACAGTTCACCCCTGAATGAGTCCTGCTGGGAAGAAGGATGAAGACAGGAATGGTCTTGCTACTGCTACAAGTCAGTTTAGGTTTCGGAAGGGAGCTGGTTGGATCAGGATATCCCAAATGACTGGGCTCAGGCCAAGCCTGCGTCATCTGTGAGCCTGTCTCCTCCCAGCCACCCAGCATGACAGTCTCATACAGGCATCTCCTTCAAATGCTTCTAAATCTTTGGGATTTGTAACTCTGAAATTTCCCCTTTCCCCCCAAAATGGTGACCTTCACTAGAAAACTCACAAGAAAAGACAGAGAGAGGAAATATTCCATTCTTCCTGCTACAGAGGAAGGAAAACAAGAATTCTTTCTGTTGGCTCTGGGCAGCATGACTCACTCAGTGGCCTGTCAGTTTGGGTTGTCTCAGCCTGTTTTTTTCTTGCCTCACCCTCTATTTGGTCTACATGTGTGGTCAAAACCTGTAATTTTCAGTGTTGCAAGTTGGTGTTTCACTGGGAACTGTGTATAGGCCAGGAGTTAATCTGGGGAGCTGCTGGCTGGAGGGAGGTGCTGCAAGTGGGCAAGACTCAACACCCGTCTGCCAGACTTGCCAAAACCATTAGCTGGAGGAAGCCTTTTCAAGTACTTCTGAAACCTCAGCTTGGAGGGACAGTGTGCAACAGTAGATACAGAGGTAAAAAGTGCTGCTGAGGAAAGGTCCCATTAAAAGCCAGGATGTAATGGTTGTTTGTTTTAACTATCCCAAAATCTCAGATGTGGCTGAGATACTTTGGTCAGGCCAAGCTTGATGAGGAAGTTAACAAGGCTCAGAGACCAATTTTGGAGACCTGAAAAATAAGAGATTTTTTGATGTGTCCAAGCTTGTACAATGAGCGAGTTGATTGTCATGAATCACCAAATGCTCCTCTGCAGCTGGAAGTCCTCTGGTGTTTTTATTTCTGTAGGTGTCTATGTGGTGCTTCTCAGAGTAGCACCTGAGTGTCATGTGCCTGGTTTGAGAAATGTGTAAAGCATTTAAATGGTTGTATGAGTTGTAGAGAGAAAGAGCAGATTTTGTGATGGGTTGGGACACAGGGAGAATTGTTTAGGAGAATGAGAGCATGAAGGGGGAAAAAACATTTTCATTTTTGAATTAATTCTGTCTTTTCAGCTCACCATAGAGCATTGAGACAGCAGGGGTACCTTCTCCCAGGGGGAGTGAGATAGGATGGGAGCAGTGTGGAGAAGCAAATCCCTGGGAGAGTTATGGTTGGGTTAATTGATAGATGTTAGTAGACGAGGTGTAGCTTTCCTGACATGGGGCAAGGCTGGCGTGTCCTAAGGGAAAAGGGCAGACAAGTTTGTCAAAAGCAATACTTGTAAAATTCCTGTCATCAGAAGAGAGCTCTTCTCTTTGTAAACTGACTGCTTCCTCAAACAGGGAAGTTCTGTCATCATGAGATAGGGCTGAGACAAGGTTGTCTTTGTGAGATATGTGCTAGGTCATCCCTCTGGTGTTGTTTGCAGAAAGTGGTCATTTGAGTTCGTGTTGTTCAACAGTTATTGATGTGAAGGAATATCAGAGACAAAACAATATTCTCCAAGTCAGGGATCTGTGTCCCTGGTCTGATGCATGTGTCCTGTTTGGCAAAGTACTGTGTAAGGTTTTAAAAGGTTTCAAGCCACGTGTTAGAGTGGAGGTCCAGTTTCATAGTTGCAGCATTAAAAAAATGTGTTAGGGTGCCATTTGTTAGGGTGTTATTTGTCCACTCAAGGTTAAAAATTAACTGGGTCTCATGGAGTTCTTATCATGCCACTGTATACTTTTGTCTGTTGCCTAGTTTTGATCTTTTTCTGAGAAGAGGTTGCAAATACAAGGAATAGGGATGGAATGTAGGTCAGTTGTCCATAGAATAGAGAAGATTGCACAAAAACTTTTAAAATTTTCCTGGTTCTTTTGTGTCAGTCTCTTCTGTCAGGCTAGGAGTACAAGCAGTATTTTATGAATGTCAATAATTTGTGTTCTTATGCTGCAAAATGTAAATATTCCTAGAGCACAAGAGACTTCCTGCAAAAAGGCTTTACTGTAAGGAGTCCTTAACTATAAAAATACTCATTCTGCCAAGCATTTGTGAAATGTGAATGTTTTTATGCTTTTCATCTAGTTACTCTCTTCCGCTATGTTATAATCCTCTGAGAATTTGTTTTTCTGGATGTGTGTTTTCAGCAAGATGTCTTTTATTGATAATTGTTTATATTGCCAAACCATGTTTTTGTCACTGAAATGTGAAATTTTGTTGGTGTAGAAAATGAAGGGGAATGATTAGTTTAAAAAGAAAATTTCACTTCTCAGAATGTAATCTCTAGCTGTCTTTCAGGCTGTGCCTGCCTTTTGCTTTTAATCTTCCTATTTAATATAGTCCAGTGTGTGTTTTTATCAGTCACGTATCTTTGTATGCAGTGTTAAAGCACAAAGGGTTGAGTTGCCCCATAAAAAGCACACGTGTTCATGACAGAAGAATCATGCTGTCTTTTTTATACCTCAGACCCAGACTTCCAGCTAATAGTTTTTCAGCTTTATGGATGTGCAGCTCTGTGTTCCTGCACGGTACAAAATAAGAAAAGCTGCAGCATAGCTGCTGTGAATTTCCCTGGGGCTCTATGTCTGGTGCAACAACAAAGTACTAAGTAGTTTTTTCAGACAATTACTGGAATGATATTATTTAACTAAATCAATGCTGTTACAGTTCTGAGAGTTAGGGACTTTTTTCCCCCCAGTTCTTCCTTCATCTTTGCCATGAGGTTTGCATTCAGTGTCTTTTGTCAGTGTGTCTTGTAGCCAGCTGGATGACCAGGTAGCTGTTTGGGGTTTTTTCCCATAGTGTGCCTTGTAGTTATCAGTCAGTATCTGCTTTTATAGAACATATCATGTTCACCCTACACAAAAGAATAATGCAGTTAAAGTTGTGACTCACAAACATAGGATTTGTCTCAATATACTCACTTGCCTGTTTTCTTTCATACAGGATATTAGAAACAGTGTAGGACTGCGGGCACCAAATAATTAAAGGTCATGTGATACAATCTGGGGCCATGTGATGAAGTGCCCTTGTTTGGAACAACTAGATCAGAGTAATCATATTAACAAGAAATATTTCCGTCAGCAGTGGAAAGTAGTGGATCTTGGTTTCCAATGAATATTTTTTGCAAATCTGATTTACTCTTTATCTGAATTACACCAAGTCTGTAGTGTGAGCTCTGCTCTTACTGCACACTGAAAACACATTGGGGTGGGGAGTGGATTCTCTGGTATCAGGCTATAACACAGAGGTCTCACGGTAGCATTTTTAACAGTGCAGAGGCACTCTGCTCAGGGACATCCTCCCTGCTTCCTGTTTTCATTGCACATGGAGAAATAATATTTTGAAGATGGCTACCTTCTGTCAAGGTTGGTTAAAACTGACCAATTGATAAAAAATAAAGAGCTAGCTTTTGGAGATGCAGACATGATGTAAAAAAAAAAAAAGAGGATAGATGCATTTTATAGAATCAGATTAAATATAGGTCATTGTAGCTACTTCATTAACCAGTTTAATTACAGTCATTATACTTTGTTGCCTGTTTTATGTGTGTCTCACTCCCCTTCAGGTAAATCTTTCCTTTTCCTGTATGTGGGCTATTTCCTTTCTGCTTCTTTCTTTAATCTCCAGGATATCCTCCTCTATAAAGAAGATTGCCACCCCCACACTAGCACTTATGCCAGCAGGGAAGGCAGGAACCACCTTCAGAGATCAGCAGGCACGGCCCAGGAGTTCGAGGAGGCACTGGTGGCATGGCCTGTCTTGCCTCCTCTGTGCCAGGTCCTTAGTGTAGCTGTGCTGGTGTCATTGCAGCTCAGCAGTTCTGGGCAAGTTAGTGCCACCAACCTTAACCCAGAGCTGTTATATAAGAGGTAACAATGCATCATCTGAAAAGCTCTCGACCCACAGCAGGTCACTTGTGCCTGAGGAATGTATCATGTTGTTTTCACAAAGCAAATGTTTACAGGTATTATAGTAGGATAGGAAATGCTGGAGGAACAGGGAATTCTGGAGGAACTAAAGAATTTTGGGCAAAATGTTCTGTGATCAGGAAGGACTAGATCAGGTGTTTATAGAAGCTCTTCTATTTTGAAACCTTGGGAAACCAGGTAAGATACATTGTCAACTTTCTTTGCCATAGAAAATGAGAGCTCTCCACCTTTCTGTGGTATGAACTGTGTTTTCTAAGAACCCCTCTGGAAGCACCATGGAGGGGAGAAGAACCTTTCTCCCCATTTTGTAGAGGAGAAAGCAAGTAGAAGTTTCAGCACATTTGCCCTATGTCATAGTCCAGGTCAAAAGATGCCCTTCACCTCTGGGAAGAGAAGGGGATAAATGCATAAGTCATCTGTGGGAGCGGAAGCAAGGAAGGGGGAAGCTGTGAGACTTTGCTCCAGGTATTAAGGGGTGACAGGGAGTAGGCAGAGGACTGGGCTGTGCAGCTTCATGGCCAGCACCATGGAGGGGAGAAGAGCCTTTCTCCCCATTTTGTAGAGGAGAAAGCAAGTAGAAGTTTCAGCACATTTGCCCTATGTCATAGTCCAGGTCAAAAGATGCCCTTCACCTCTGGGAAGAGAAGGGGATAAATGCATGTGTCATCTGTGGGAGCTGAAGCAAAGAAGGGGGAAGCTGTGAGACCTTGCTCCAGGTATTAAGGACAGGGAGTAGGCAGAGGAGTGGGCTGTGCAGCTTCATGGCTCCAGCTGAGTTGTGGTTTCTTTTCAGGGTTCTCACATTCTACCTAGGAGATCCAAACAGGAGTAAAGATGTGTATCTTGGGCTGCTTTGGCACAGCAAGGTCAACCCACTGGGAGCACAGAGCCTTTTCTTGCCCTGTGCCACTGAGCTGTTGTGCACCCAGTAGTCATTTATTTGTGGCTTCTGGGCGTACACATTGATTTAAGTAGTGCTAATGGGGCTGGGGAAACTCTGAACAGCCCTAGTCCTCTTCCAGTGAATGTCTGCCTGTGCACCCTGCTGGGAACTAGCACTTGACAAGGTTCCAAGTTGTCCCTGGCTGCCATAAAATGCCCAGTGTCCCACTCCCTGCTGGTTATTGCAGAATAAAGGCTCAATTCCCACCTTCCTACTCTCTCTGTAGATGCAGTTGGTCTGGTCACTGTTTTCCTGGCGTGCCTCTTCCAAAACCTTTATGTCTCTGGAGCCTTGAATGGGAGCTTATTCTGGCCTTTGGGAAGCACAGGCAGGACCCTTGATGGTCCTTGCTCCTTTGTGTGAGGAAAAGGTTTGGACACACTTTTGGCTTCTAAAACCTTTATGTCTCTGGAGCCTTGAATGGGAGCTTATTCTGGCCTTTGGGAAGCACAGGCAGGACCCCCTTGATGGTCCTTGCTCTTTTCCCTCTTTGTGTGGGGAAAAGGTTTGGACACACTTTTTGGCTTCTCTTGCCCACAGTGCACAATCTTCACACTTCAGCTCCTTTCTGTAACAGTTGCCAAGCTGAACGGATAGGCTGATATTACTGTGAGTGCTTAGCAAAGGAAACATTGACTCGCTGAGTTTGTTACTCTTGCTTTTTTCAGTAGTACCAAAACTCAGCAAGTCGCCAAGAGGTGTGGTACTTTGTATGGTCTCTGGGTAGCATCGAGACAGGAATCTTGGGTATGTTACATTGTTGATTTCAGGTAAAAAATTGTGTTTGGCAGTACAGGTCTGGTGGTCTGTGCTGTTCTGGTCTTCTGTCTCTGAAGCAACCGGTTGTGGTGGGGATTTTGCCAGCAAAAGCCTTTCCCCAGACAACACACAATCCAATAACACTTGTGTCATAACATAACAACTAACGTCAAAACATGGAAATGGAAATTAGCATGTGACAAAGCACAGGTATGCAGAGAAACTCAGGAGCAAGCCTAGGTTCAGCCTTCTCTTTACACTTAATGTTCTTCTGTCTATATGGCTTTGTTAATGTTTGCTTTGTTTCAAACAGAAAAGAATACAGGATCATGTTGGGATCACTACCAAGCAATACGTTAATACGTAGGGTAGGAAGGATGATCTGTTTGATTAATTCAGACACCTACTTCAGCCATGCCAATGTAGCTCTTTTGGGAGAGAAAGAATGGAAAGAGAAAGGAGATATAATAATGTGACCTAATCACATTAGATTCAAAAGTTTGTAAGATTTTAATTACAGCTTAATTTAATTGTAGTTCAGCTTAAATCATAACAAAAGCACTGATGTGCAACAGCAATTTTTCTAAAGATTCAGTACTTTGGGTATTGTCTTTGCTTGAAGCTTTGGCTGTACCTCTGCAGATGAATTCTGAACAACCTTTGAAGAGGATGCTTAGTATAAGTTCCTTATGTGGTTTCTATGTGGCTTTTTTCTTTGAATGATTGTTCCCAGATTAGCATTGGAAAGATTGCATCCCCAGGCATGGTTGTTTTAGTAAAGTGTTTGAGCCTTTTAATTAATTTTACCTTAAGAAAGATTTTATGTGAGTGCCAAGTATAACTTATCCTAAGCAAAGAAGGTGGTGCAAGGTATGTTGATCCAGCCTGGGATGCTGTAACAGAGCTTAAAATAAAGTGGTGTCATCTTACATATGTAGGGAACAGTGGGTTCTGAGAAGGGATTGAGAGGAGCTCCTTGTGCTAAAATCATGCTCCAGTACTAAATATTTAAATAGTTCTTGTCATTAAAAATATGCTCCAATGTCAGAGAGTCAAGCATGCATCATTTTTTGACTCCTTGGCTCTGTGTCTTTTAAGTCCTTCTGAAATAGAAAAGTTGTCTATCTTTTTACTCTACAGCCTGTAGGGAAGATCTGGCAGAGGGTTTGGGAGAGAAAATCACATGTCATTGGAACCTTCCTCAGCGTCACAAGATAGACTGAGTGAAATGCCAGCCAGAGCTGAGCTGTACTACCAACTGTGTTGTAACTCCAGCCAGAGAAAATTGCTCTCTGAGGTTTGCTTGATTGTTTTGAAAGATATAACTAAAGAAAAAACTGAAATGGAAAGTGAAAAGTAGAAGAAAACATTAAGGAGATTCCTGGAAAAGGGTTGGCCTTGGAATTCATTACTCAACAGGATCTAAAATGCCAAAGCGCCTCTTTTCTACTTGTTTGAGCTGATAAAGACTTTCATTTTATTTTTGACTTTTACCATTTCAGGTGTCACAGAGAAAAATAATCAGCGTCACCCCAATGGTCTTCAAGGATATGAACTCTGCAGTTTTTATCTAGATGGATGAAAAGGTTAACAGCCCAGGAGGGGAGTTCCTTTTGTTTCCAAGATGGCAGCAACGAGTGGTGAAAGCCAGCTGCAGCGGATTATCAGAGACTTGCAAGGTACACTGAGTGCCATGCTGACAGATCCGTTCTGGAGGCTGGACTGCATCGTCCAGGGTTTAGATAACAGAGAGCAGGAGTTGTGTTTTCAATTGTGTAACTTTTTCCTGCAGCTTTGTAGCAACATAATTCAAGGTGTGCAATGTGACTGATTTTTGTTTTTTTGTGAAACAAGTGCTGTAACTCCTGCATGACACTGAATTCTTAAATTCTGTAAATTTAAACATATAAGAGAAAAAAATAAGTTTTACAGTTTAAAGAAAGGGGTGTGTGAGGTGTGCATTGTGAACTAGTACTTCATCAGCATGCATAGAGCTGTGCTGCTACAAGACTTCTTGTGAAGTAAGGAGAAAGGGCCTAAAACTCAGTCTTCCTTAATGGGAAGCTGATGTGTTGTTAATATGGGAAGGGGAAAAGCCAGTAGGCCAAACCTAGCTGGGAAAGGAGACTCAGATGAAGGGTGCTGGAGAATTACACCTGCTGTTCTTGAAGTAGCCAACTTGATTTAAACAGTTCTGTTGCAGGCAGAATTGGTATCAGAGTCATAACAGTTTTTCTGCTCTCTTGCTGTCCTAATCAGCTGCCTATCCCAAGATTCTGATATTTTTCCTTTTAATTTTTATTAAATAAAAAGTATATGCACCAAAGCTGAAAATCTATATCTTCCTGTAACATAAAAAAGATCTATGTGACTACTAACAAGAAATTTTAATTTGCAAAGGGTTATTGAGTGGGACTGGGAGAAAAAGCTCACTCAGTCACCTGAAATAAATATAAGACCAAGGGGAAAGCAAGCAAGCTCAAAATCAGTAATTTCTGATGCTGAGAAGTACATTCTTTTGGGGCTAGAGTGCCCACGGGGGACAATAAAGTGTATTTTGACTTGAGATTTCCTTACCCAATATGGGTGTACATTTCAGGGAAGAGGAGTTGCTGTATGCTTATTTTTTATGTAAATTTTTTTTCGTTTGTGTTTGTAACCAGCACAAGCTGAACCTTCCTGAATAAAGCATGGAGAAGATAAATGTGCTGACTGAATGACTGTTCTCGTGTTACTCATCCCCTTTAGCAGATTACATGCTTTGTCCTTTCTAATCAGAATTCTGTTTGTCCTGTGGCAATACCTTAATGTGCACATGAGACAGCAAAAAGTTATTTCTCTTCCCTCTGCTGAGGTAGCAATTAGCAATTGTCTTGTTAGCAGGTTTTGCTAAGTGTCAGAAGTGCTAGGTGTGTTTTTAAGAAGAAATAATCCATACAACAGATTGACACGGTTTGAACTGCTGTTTTCTTATAGGTGGTCTCAAATTGCAGGCTTATCAGTTATTTTTTCATACTGTTGTTAAGACATTTCAGCTACAAGAAAATGAGTCCGCATGCAGAGTGTCCATGAAGAAAGCATTTATTTTGTTGTTTATGGATTCAGTGCTAGATGTCCTTTGCATTAGTTAACTATTTTGGTTCTTGTTTTAAAGATGCAGTGACTGAATTAAGTAAAGAATTTAAAGAAGGAGGTGAACCAATCACAGATGACAGTGTCAACTTGCAAAAATTCTCCTACAAGCTTGAGTACCTCTTACAGGTAAAATATTTGTGTGATTTGTGATCCACCAGCAAAGCTCAGCCTTATTTTCTCTTGCTGACTCTTCAGTATGTGGAGTTTAACTCAAATAACCATATGACCAAATATCATACCATATAACACAAATAACCAAATATCCAGCTGAGTCTCTCTTTCTATTTTATTTTGGTGTGTGTAATAAGATGACTGAAATATGCGCTGCCTATTATATTTATTTCAAGTGAAAATAAATGTAATCAAAAGGCAGTGCTGGAAGACTTGAGGAATGTAAGGTATTTATTGATCTGAAAGATCTGAGCTTGATTTTAAAGATGTACCTTGCTAAATTATCCTGAAAAAACTGTGGCAATGATATCTTGATATTTGAATGAAAAATAAATACTGGATGTGAGTAATTTGAAGAATTTTCAGCAATTTCACTTTGGAAAGGTTTTTTTTTATTGTATGGCAGGCTTAAGGCAAAAGGCTGATTTTTAATCTGGGGTGCTGCTTTTTGTCCACCCTTAAGGTTTAAGTAAAAGAGGACACTGCTGGAAAAACTGAAATTCAGTTTGCATAGTAATCATGCCACTGATTGCAACAAATGCTAATTTGCAACCAGTGCTAATCTAATCTTAATCTAGGCAAGGGAGTTTTAATGGGGTTGCAGAGCAGAAACTGGAAGATCCTTTGGGATTTGAATGGTCCAAGGTGCAGTCCATACCCTTGCTGCATTGCTGCTCTGAACATGATTTAGCTAGGGCAGGTTTTTTGGTACATACGTGTGTGCTACTGCCACACTTAATTGCAGGTCTCTCAGCAACTGGTTGTTAGTGCCTTGCTCTTGAACAGCTGCTGAATCTGCTGCCAGTCTTGGTGTCAGGAGTTTTGAATGGATGTCTGTATTTTAAAGAGACCCAGAACATTATTATCTCATACTGTCAGTTAAGTAGCTTTTGTAACTGCTGGATTGCATCAGTACAGGTCACTGTCTCTTTGCTTTGTGAATGCATTGGCTAAAGCTAAGAGGAGTGATGAAAGCACACGCTGCAGGGAGAGGATTCCAAGTAGCTATATATAAGTATATTTCTATTTAAATTTTGCTTATTGTATTTTGTTTTCCTGGTTTAAGTTTGACCAGAAAGAAAAAAGCACATTGCTGGGGAACAGAAAAGACTACTGGGATTATTTCTGTGACTGTCTGGCAAAAATCAAAGGAGCTAATGATGGAATCCGCTTTGTCAAGTCTATTACAGAAGTAAGTATGTCAGTTAAGCATCAGAATATGTGGTTTATGTTTAGCCATGTTTGTTCAGAGAGCAGTAACAACAAACCAAAAAAATACACTGCTTTTAACATATAACAAAAAAAATTGGGGATTTTTTATTCTAATTTTCATGTGAAGTATAAAAATTCAAGATGACTTCTTTTTACTTGGGCACTAAATTATGTAGGATTCAAAATTCTGATTCCTGTTTCACAGACCACTTACACAAGTGAGTGGACCTGTTTGTCTCTGGTTGTGCCCTGCGTTTTCATAAACTTAATGCTATTTTCTCTAAAAATAAATGAAAAATTAAGTCAAGGGTAGTGCATGCCATCTTCAGCGAAGCTTACAGCAGGATCTGACTCCAAGTATAAGATGAAAGGTTCACCATATTTGACTTTTGTTAAGATTTTTTAAACTGGTCCATAGAGTTGAGGACTGACTGAGAGCAACAATTTCATCTTCTGTCTGAACTCTGTTCCTCTGTGTGAAATAGCATGATGAAATTATTAGGGATGATTGTCATTATTCCCTGGAGTAAGCTGTCAGGAACAGCACAAAAAGCCTTGTTCCTGTTAGATTTAGATTAGTAATAAAAGCTTAATCTTGTAAAAACCATGTTATGTCTTCAGCTCAATGCGTGGGTGAAATAAAAGCTGTGAGAAGCTTTCTGTGTTGATCCTGTCTGAGTCTTTAGAATTGTTTGAAGAAGATTTTCCTAGTGGGTAGAAGAGGCAGTGGTGGGGTGATTGCAGATTTCTCTGCAAAGGTGGCTGTACTGTAGTGTTCAGCAGTCTGTTGCCTTTGGTATCACCTGCATATTGCCACATGTAAAGACTGCTCCACTTTTTCCTTCTTCACTATTTCTGGCTGTTAAATTGTTAGCACAGTGTCAGAAATTATAGTTTGGAAGCAGGATATTTTCTACTTCAATTTATGTACAGCCATAGAAATTAGCTTGTGGAAGGCTTCTTTAATCTTTATAAAATTGTGGTTTAGAAATACAAACTCCTAAAAAAGGAAACAGTGATCTGTTTTGGGTAATTGAGCTGGCAGATTTGGGCCCAGAAATTAAATGACACATGGCGAAAATGTATGTTTGTTATTCCCCTTCATTACAGGTAGAAATCAGCAACAAATTTTTGAACCTGGCTGGATAGAATATGAAGGTTTCCAAATGTCTTTATTTGCTTACGGAACAAACAAACAAGGTTTGACTTTCAAACCTGGAAATGAACCAAAAAGAAAGAGTAATAGCAGTTAACTTAAAGAACAGTCAAACATTCAACAGCATAAATGCCTCCTCTGCTCTGCTTGCAGTGCTTCTAATATTAGGGTGTATGATATGCTAGAGAGGTGGAGCAAGGAAGCAAATAAGAACACCCTGGAAGCTGTTATCTGTTAATTAAGCAGAGGGCCTTATTCTTGAGAGCAGTAGGTGAGCAGTGAGTTCTGGTTGTTCCCCTTTCCCTTTCCAAAGGTGATTACACTGAATACACATCTTTCCAAATCTTTACAGCCATACACTGCACCTTAGCTACAATGTTTGCTATCAGCATGGAAATAGTGTCCATTCCAAACACTCTGCCTTCCTGATTTCTAGAAGGGCTCCAGCAGGAGGTGGCATGGTTTTGTTTCCTTTAGCTACTTGTAGCTGCATATATGTAAATATTTTCCTCTAGTTCTCATAATGTATGTTTTTTCTGGTCTCTCCAGTATCACAATTTAAATTGATAAACCAATGGGTGTAAGGATAGGATTAATTCTGTGGCTTCCAGGGTTTGTTTTTTTTTTTTTTGACAGTTCTTAAGATATTCACTAAATATGACTAGTTAGGAAAAATCACTTGTAAGCCTCTATGCACAGGGTAGGGATAGTATCTCCCTGAAGAAATGTTCAGATATCTGCAGGGTGAATGAGGGTGAAAACCAAGTAGTAAATTAAATTTGCTGTTTCTGGGATACTTAGTGCTTAGGGACTCTGGTATTTTGCACTTTGTGTCCTGTAGAATTCAAACCAAAAATCAGTAAAAAGTGTTGCTTTCGTTGCTTCACATTTCATTCAGGTTCCATTTATAAGGAACATTTTTGTATGTAGTGGGTTACTGAACTAAATGAAGAGCCTGTGTTACTTCACAGTAAAAGCCCAGTAACAGCAAAAACAGGGAAGCTGAGGGTATTGCTCTCACTTCAGCACAGTGGAATGCTAATCGCTGGGAAAGAAAGCTTGTGTGGCCTTTGAGCCTTCTTTCACATTAACCTTTCAAACAAAGTTTACAGTAACCTACTAACTTGTGCCTCAGTCTCTCTATTATTTGTCTTGGCTTCTATTTTAAACACATAAATGTGTTTGCTTTGTGTAGATGAACAGTTAGGTGAGAAATTCTTTCATCACACTCCTTTTCCATTTCTAAATTGATCACTGACTTTGGTGGAAAGAAGAAACACCACTATTCGGTGTTTCACTATTTTGCAGGACAGAAAATGGTTCAGATGTAAAAACAAAATATTGATTTTTCAAGTCAATAGCTATAAAAATTCAGTACTGAGCTTTGTGATCCCCCTTATGTTGATTTAACAGCTGTCTTCATAAAAAGATCCATTAATTTTGGCCATGCAGCTGTTCTTGGTCTGAAGAATGAATTATATTTTAATCAACTTAATGGCTAAGTATTAAGAAAGGCTTTTTGTATTTTGTGTGGTTACTGTGTCCATGGGCATGTATATTTGTATATGTGTACATCTTTGTTCTATTACTTAATCTTTCCTAAAGCTCTTCCAGCTGTGGCCATACACATCTTCAGTAACTTAAGCTGTCACTTCTGTCTTGGCTGGGCATATTGAGATTTGCCCTATATTTTGAATTGTCTTTAGCTTAGTCTATGCTCAGGTACTCAATATATTAGATGATTCATGGGTCCTGTGGTGCCTTTTATATGTTTATAAAGTGAACAACAGCCAGCTGTAGAAACAAATCCATCATTCTGAAAAGATTCCACACAACGACACTTAGGAAAAGTTCTCACTGGCTTCCTTTATAACTTTTTCCTTTACAGTGGCTTATTGTGAGTATTTTTGTGTTGCTTTGTAGGCTGTTCTGGCCATGTCTCTACATGATCACAAATGATACTTAACTTTCTTTTCTTGTGGTTTCTCCCCTCAAGCTACGAACCTCTCTTGGAAAAGGAAGAGCATTTCTTCGTTATTCCCTGGTTCACCAAAGGCTGGCAGACACCTTGCAGCAATGTTTTATGAACACCAAAGTCACCAGGTGAATAGCAAAGTGCTTTTTTAGCTAATGGTGTTTGCTTCATGTGATCAAGCAACATCACCTCGTACTTATTGAAAGAAATTGAAATGCTTCCAATTGTTTGGCTTAGAGAGCTGGTAATAGGATATGAAGGATCATAGACCTTTTGGCCTGGGTCACTGGTTCATACCTATCTTGGGCTTGTAAAGACTGAAAGTTATTACAGCTTAATATAAGTGGAGTGGGTTGTGCTGATGCTTCTGTACGTCAGTTTCAAAGGTGATATATTTGTGAGTATTGAAGATCCTGGGTTTGATAGGCTATTCATCATGAGAGAGGATTAATTTGGACGTGTTGCACAAAGCCCCAGAAAGCATTTACGTATATCTGTGGATGGTCACACAAAGGGCCAAACTTGCCCTTGGCCAGGAAATTCTGAAGATATTTTGTATTTGGTTGAAGGGACACTGCTAGGGCTTTAAGAAAAAGCCACCTGTTTTCACAATGTATGGATGCTGCTTTTTGTTCCTCATTTTTGATGTATTAAATATATGCTTTAGTAACTGTGTGATTATCCAGTGTATTGCAAATATTTTGTATTGTCAGTGATTTGCCCAAGCACTAGAGGAAAAAATATTTTGTGCAGGGATTCCTTTAAAGATATTTATGTGGAATTAATTAAATTTGTTTCATTTCTTTGACATTGAAGAGATGGAATATTGTTTGGTGGGTCTGATTGTTTTCATTTGTGTTTAAAATACTGTATCATAGGTTTTCTGTGGTGGAGTGCATAATGATGTAGGGGGTTTTGTGTAAAAGAAACTGCTGCTTCCCTTTTGCCTATGAATGAGTATTCTCTTTTGTTTGTTTTCAAGTGACTGGTACTACGCAAGAAGTCCATTTCTGAATTCCAAAATGAGTTCTGACATTGTGGGTCAACTCTATGAGCTCACTGATGTTCAGTTTGACTTGGCATCACGAGGCTATGATTTAGATGCTGCTTGGCCAACATTTGCCAGGTAAGATGGAAACACATTGTGATTTTGTATTAACAAGTACATAAAACACCTGCTTGCTAAAGTATCTGTAAAAGCTTCTGCTTTTGTGGGTAGGAACACTTATGTTTGAGTAGGTATATGCTTTTTCCATGTAATTAATCCATGAGCACATTGTCCTGTTTCTCCTTCAGTATACTGAGCACCAGGGATCAGAGAATGTGCTTTGTAAATAGGGCACTTCTAGTAGCTGCAGTTTAGGCCCAAATCCCAAGCTATTCCTCATCCATGCATACACAAGAAGAAACCTTCTTAGCTTCCTCTGTTTCAAGAGCTGAGACATGTAGTGGCTGCACAGCCAAGCAGTGTGCTTCACTTGCAGCCACGTGATCCCACCTACAAATGCTACACCACCTACAAGTGGGGGATAACAAAAGCTACCAGGTCTGGTCCAGAGCCTTTTGTATCAATGGACCCTTTGCTGCCATCCTCTGGTTGAGCTGCCACCATACAGCGATACAATTCCTTAGAGCAAGGCTGTGTTGGTTTTTGTGGATGAGAGAAGTGACAGCTACTGGCCCCATCACCTTTTATAGATGCCTTGGCTATCCCTATCTTATTTTTCATCAACTTAAGTGGTTGCTGGCCGAGACTGCAGGTGCAGTTATGTCCTTTTTTATGTGGTAGTTACCACTAGATAAATCTTACATGTGCAAGTAGAAAGACGTATATATGTGCTTACACTTACCTTAGATGTTGTTTCTCTGTGTGATAAACAGGAGGACTCTGTCCTCACTTGGATCTTCAGCATATTTATGGAAGCCCCCAAGTCGCAGTTCCAGCATGAGCAGTTTAGTGAGCAATTATTTGCAGGTAAGCAAATTGTAAATAAATGTTTTTATATTTATAGGTCCTTGGTTGACATAGTTTCAGAGAACTTTTATGATGATTATGAGTCTTATAATCTAAACTGCAAAAAGCATTTTAAATTAAAAGTAAAGGGAATTGTCTGTCAGCTGCTTCAACTTAACATACAAATCTTGTAATAGAAAAAAATATGTTCATAAGACTACCTGCAGACAGGCATGTTTTCATTTATCTTTTGGGAAAACAAGCCTCATTTCCTACAAACTGAAATCTTGTAGTGCTATGAAGGCAGCACAATGTCACTGTACATTAAGAACCTGAATTTGCTCTCATTTGAATACACATTTAAATGAATGCTTAATTCTGCTTAAACTTTCTGATTTTCCCCTTCTTTTCATTTAGGCACAAGAGTTTCCTTCCAGCCCTGATGTAAATAACTCACTAAATGTTGAACACCTTGAGGGCTATGAAGAGATGCGTTTAGAACTTGACCAGGCTGAGCTGAGGCAGAGGGAACTTCAAGATCGTATTCACCAGCTAGAAATTGAAAACCAGGAGCTCCAGGCAGCTGTCAGCCTTCAAAAGGAACAAGTACTGGTAGAAAAGGAGAAGAGCAATAACTACAGTGAGGAGAACTCCCGGCTGACAAAGATGATCACAGAGTTACAGAAGCAGTGTGAGGTCTCACACTCCACTCAGAGCACTGTCCATGACCTGCAGAAGTGCCTACAGTCACTGGAACTGAGTGCAGCAGAGCAGCAGAAGGAACACTCAACAAAGGTGGAGCAGCTGTTGACCAGCAAGGAAGATTGTGCCTCAAAATTGCAGGTTTCGAATCAGGAGCTGGAGACCTCTAGGGCTTTGATTGCTGTGAAGGATATGTGCATTGATGAGCTCAAAGCCAAGCTGAGTTCCACAGAACAGAAGAACCTCAACCTCCTTGCAAAAGTTGATGCTGCCTTGGATGAAAAGGGACAGCAAGCCACAGCCCAGTATGATTCTGCCCTACAAATACGGGCACTGTTAGAGAAGCTTCAGGAGATGGAAAAGGAAAAGGCAGATATGCAAAGACTCAATGCTGAACATGCATCTCAGCTGAAGGCAGCAAGGGAGGAGCTGCTGCTGAAAGAACAGGCACAGAAGGAACTGGAATCCAGATACAGTAGCCTCACTGCTAACTCCAAAGAAGAGAGTGAAAAGCTGTCTGGGAGCCTGGAGACCATGGCAAAGGAAAAGGATGCACTTCAGGAGGCCCTGACTCTGAAAGGAAAGGAGATGGCTGAGCTGCAGACCCAGGTAATGGGGTCGCTGGCTCAAGTGGGTTCACTGGAAAAAAGTCTTGAGGAAGCCAGGAAGGAAAAAGAGAAACTTGAGGAGGAGTATGGTAGGAGAGAAGGAGCACTGAAGCAGGAAGCCCAGTCACGAGCAGAGCAACTTGAACTACAGGAGGGTCGCTTAACAAAGGTGAGTCAGACTGTGTGTAGCCTTCAGGAGCAAAACCAGAAACTCATGTCTGAGAAGGAGCATCTCAGGCAGAAAATCAAGGAGCTGGAGGAGCAGATGGAGCAGCAAAACTCTGCAGTGAGTGAATTGGAAGAGGAGAGCAGGAAACTGAAAGCAGAGAATGAGAATTTGCAGCAGTCTAAGAAGAAAATGGAAGAGAAGCTGAAAAATCTGGAAGCTTCTAAAGCTTCCCTAGAAGCTGATGTAGCTAGGTTGAGAGCCTCTGAGAAACAACTTCAGAGTGAGATAGATGATGCCCTGGTGTCAGTTGATGAAAAAGAGAAGAAGCTCCGGAGTGAGAACAAACAGCTGGATGAAGACTTGCAGAATGCCAGGAGGCAAAGCCAAATTGTAGAGGAGAGGCTGCAGGCTCTGCACTCAGAATATGAAGAACTAAAGCAAAGAGAAGAGACCTTCAAGGAGTCTTTTGCCTCACTTGAAGCACAGCTGAAGAGTGCCAAACAGCATAGTTTACAAATGGAAAAAAGCTTGGACACCTTGAAGGAAAGCAAAGAGTGTCTCCAGTCACAGCTCACACAGAAGGAAGCAGAACTTCAGGGCATGGAGAGCCAATGTCAGCAGCTAAGAGCAGAAGCTGAAAGACACAGGAAGAAAGCAGAGACTCTTGAGATAGAAAAGCTCAGTGTAGAAAAGACATGCCTTCATCAGACAAAACTTATAGAATCTCTCACATCAGAAAAGGAATCAGTGGAAAAACAGCAACTACAGCAGGCAGCGTCCCTGGAGAAGGAGGCAAAAGAGCTGGCCTTCAGACTGACCATGAGTGAAGAGCAGCTGGAGGTCAACAGAGGTGAAGTGTCCAGACTGCAGGCAGAAGTCCTTGATCTGCGAGTCAAGCTTCAGCAGGCCACTGATGAGAGAGAGAGGATGAGAGGTGAGCTGGAAGTCACTGAGACTGTCTTGAGTGAGCAGAAGACGCTTGTCCAGCAGCTGAAAGAGCAGAATGAGTCTCTCAACAGAAATCATGTGCAAGAACTGGTACAATGTAAAGAAAGGGAAGAAAAGCTGAAAAAAGAGCATGAGAGAACAGCCCATCAAAAAGCTGAGCTGGAAAATAATTTGATGAACCTAAGGGAAGAGCTGTCTAAGGTTAAGCGGTATTTGGAAAATGCTAGAGTGGAAAATGAAGAAAATAAAGATCTCCTCCACAGGACCAACACTGATATGGCTGAACTTGGTATTCAGATTTGTGCCTTGACCTCTGAAAAGGTGGATGCAGAAGAGCAGTTGGCCCAGGCCACAGAAAGGTTCAAAGAACTGGAAGAACAGGCAGCAGAGCAACAGGAGAAGCTGAAACTTGATGTCTCTAATCTCAGAGAGGAGAACAAGAGCCTGCAAGAGAAATTAGAGGAGGCTCAAATGTGTGCTGCAACTGTCCCAGGTCTGCAATTGCAGCTGGAGACAATAAAGAAACAGGCACAGAGTTTCCAAGAGACCAGCCAAGAAGAGCTGTCTGCAATAAAATTTCAAATGAGCACAGAGATTCTAAATTATCAGACAAAATTCAAGGTAAATTAATGTAATTATTATAGCTGAGGGAGCTGCTTTACCATCTGCTACAGCAATTACTGCATGAAATCCTAAGGTTTGTGTGGGTCAGGCTCTGAGACTAACATGCAACCTGCCTTAGCCTGGGAATGTGAAAATATCTCTGTGCTCATGACCTAGACCTATCTAAAGTAAAAGGGTGATGATTTCTTACATTGGAGGTGAAGGTGGTATCTGCTGTCCCTCTGGTCACAGCTGTGGTTGATTCCTTTTTTGGTAGGAACATTTCAAGACCTGTTCCTCACACCTATAACACTGCTTCTTCTAAGAACTGATTTTGATGAAAGAAAACTTAGACTGAGACCAGGTGCTTTTGCATTTAATTCCCTCATGTGTTCTTGCTTTCAGCTGCTCAAGGTAGCAGCTGGGAAGATCAAAGTGTTGCTTCAAAAAAAGCATGAGTCAGCCCTGTGTATATGAAACAGCACACCTAAAGGCTGAAGATTTCACTGTGTTTGCTTTGCCATTCTGATAAAATGTCTAAGATTTGTGGTTGATCAGAGGCTTATGCCACTGCATGTGTTTGACCTTTTTGTTGAGAATTGCAACAGCCAATGCAAAGTAACAGCAAAACACAGTCAATGTGCCACCATAAAGTGAGTTTGCTTGATTCTGAGAGTGTCTTTTGGCAGCCAGCAGCGCTGCATTTATCCCCTGCATGGCAGCAAGAGCACTCATAATTCACAGCTGGGAATTTTGTAGGTGAAGGGGTGGCCACTGGAGGATTATTAACTACTGGCTCAATCTCTCTGCCAGGCTGTCAGTGAGGAGTGTGGGAAAGTAAGAGAGCAACTTGAGGAGCAGAAGCGACAACAGCATGCAGCGGAGGAAGCGATTACGGAGTTACAAGTAGGTGCTTGATCTGAATTAAAACCAGAGGTGTTTGTGTCAGCAGGCATTAGTGTCACAGCTGGGAAGGTGAGCAGCATTTCTGATGACTGGCTGTGAGTCTGAGAATGCCCCTGTATAAATACAGGTGCTACAGACAAAATACTGGGCAGCTGACAGCCACTGAAACAGAGATTTTGAAAAGCATGGTATCACTTAGGATTTGTCCTGCCTTGAAAGCTGGTCAGGTTTTATGTAAGACCTGGCTGTGTGTTCTCTTCTTAAATGGGGGTGCGGTATAAGATGTCTTTTTATTAGGCCCTGCACTCCCATACAGCCACATGTGTAGATCCATCTATTTGCAGGCTGCAAAGGGCACAGAATTAGAGAATTAATGTGGCTGAGAAATAGCCCAGCCAGAAAAAAACCATAATTTTTTTGCAATAAGTTTATCAAACGGTTGAGTTAGAAGGGTCACACTGATTTGTAAGGAATCCAGAAGGAAGAAAGTTAACATTACTGGATGTGGCCTTGCCTGCTAGGAGAAATACATACCTTTAGATGCTATTAGCTATGTGCCCTGAGGACTCCAAGTTTGGTAGACTTCTCTGGAGAATCTAGCTGTGAAAGAAGTTGGGTTGTTTTCAATTGTCCTTCATATTCCATATGGGCTTTAATAAACAACATTTTCCTTCTATTTAATTTTTCTCTTTTGAAGCTTTTAGGTGGTGAAAAAGCTTTCAGGGTGTATTCTTTTGCCATTGTTTTTGAGAGATTTTTCTTGATAAGGAGGCAAAACTTCAACTGACATGGACTAACAAGAATCACAGGCTTAACATTTAGCGTGTATCCCTTATTCAGTGTGACAGAAGTAATCAGTCACTAGTACACAACTAATTACTGCCTGCTTATACAATAATATCTTAATTGGTCATTTGGCTGTAGCTGATTCTTTTAAAACATTGTTAGCTGTCTTGGTGATTGTCCAATGCATGGTAAAATCTTGTTTTTATATATAAGGAAATACAGTAATTCATTTTACTAGGCTGCAAACACGAGTTTGTGTAGAAAACTGGATGAAGCAAGAGAGCAGCTGTCAGAATCAGAATCTGCTCGGCTGCAGAAGGAAGAGGAAGTGACTTCTCTTAGAGAACTCTTGGAAAGGTGAGAGTTTGGATTTTTTACAGAAGCTATTAATTTGTAGGCCAAGGAGGGGGACAATAATCAAAACATATTGAAAATCACCATGGTTTATGAAGTACCATATGTCACAGGGTTTATATAGAACAAAGAGCTCATGGGCACTGGCAGGGAATATCAGATTGACACTTCACAGGAGAAACATGGAAATTATGAGCACACATGCATGAATCCATTAACAATAATGTATTGTTAATTTAGCTGATATAAATTAATGAAAGACATTTTTATAACCTCTTTTTACCTTATAGGTTAAGCACAAAATTAAAATAATATTGGGGATCTTTGTAAGGAATTGAAAATTTGTACTTTTGGACAGTTTCTTTTTTTCTTCCTCTTTGTGAAGTTTGAGGGAATCAGTTAGAATTATCTGAATGGGACCACATCCTGCCTGTCTTTGTCAGGTTTCTTATCAGCTTTAATAATCTAAACTCAGGATGTGTTTTCAAAGTCTGTAACATGCGTGGTGTGGATAATCTGGCAGTCAGAAATAGATCTTCATGAGGCGTGGGCTCACACAGAGTCTAATAGGTTAACCAAAGCCTATGTATTTTTATACATTTGTGCTGATATCATATGTATTATTTCTAGTTGGTAGCCATCATAAGCTTTCCTATAAGTGGGGCAGCCAAGAAATTGCTGGTTGCTGGCTGTGTTCACTAGATAATGGATCTATGTGCATTTTCAGTGATGCAGAAAACTGGGGAGATTCTGTCTAGCTCTAAAAAATATGCACACTGAGAAAATTTCACTGAAACTACCTGTTTATCAGGGTGGAAGAGCCCTTTCAAAGGGAGGACTTGAATTTACAAAAACTAAAAATGATTCATAATTGCCTTTGTATTTGATCAGGATCCAAAAAGAAGCTGATGAAGCAAAAGAGAAGATCCTGGATTACACTGAGAAGCTCAGCAAGGTGGCAGCAGACAAAGATAGCAGTGACCAGAAGTTATTTGCTGAGCTGGATGACCTGACAAGAACAAAGCAGTTCCTTGAAGAACGTTTGATAGAACTTATCAGGTTGGCATCAAAATAAAATGCATGCAGAAATTAAAATCCTTGCTTAGGATGTTCAGAGATCCAGGTTTATATTCCCAAATTGAAGATACAAGTAAATTCATTAGCAATTGAAATTTTGCATTTCCATAATACAGTCAAAAAATGTAACTCAATAATATCTCCTTAATTTGCTGTCTTTTTGTTTTAAAAAAATATGTGTACGCAGAAATTAAAATCCTTGCTTAGGATGTTCAGAGATCCAGGCTTATATTCCCAAATTGAAGATACAAGGCCAAATTCATTAGCAGTTGAAATTTTGCATTTCCATAATACAGTCCAAAAATGTAACACTCAATGATATTTCCTTATTTTGCTGTCTTTTTGTTTTAAAAAATATGTAGTTCTCTGCATGGCATGTGTTCTTCTCCCTGTCTTTGCAGAAACTTCAGTAGGTTTTTTGATCTATCTTTGAAAGCTCCTCAGAATTTTAGAAGCAAAGGAATTTTTACTGTGAACCTTTCACCAGCATTCCAGTTGAGGTTAGTTAGCAATAAACCAACACTGTGACAACTTTCATGTGTTTTTCTTTCTTTTAACTGTGTCACTGCAGAGATAAGGATGCTTTGTGGCAAAAGTCTGATGCTCTGGAGTTCCAGCAGAAGCTTAGTGCAGAGCAGAGGTGGCAGGGGGACACAGAAGTCAATCACTGTCTGGACTGCCAGAGAGAGTTCTCATGGATGGTGCGCCGACACCACTGCAGGTCAGTTGTTGAACTTATTGCACTGTTCAAAAGTAAAACTCAGTATGGTTGTCTATGTGAAGAAAATATTTCTGGATGTTCACAGTGCAGTGATCAAAATTGTTGATACATGACATTGTAGAGGCTGAAAGGACACATGAGCTTACAAGGGCATAAGACATTGGAAAGAATGTTCCTTGACATGTATTAAGACAAAGATCTGGATGCATCTCTGACTTGGGGAGTCTGTTAGTTTCTCATTTCTGGAAACAAAGATAATCACACCCTGTCTAGTATGTGTTTTTGAAGGACTGTGCACTGCTCTGTTCTTTCTTTACACAATATTCACTAAGATGGCTTTGCTGCTGTGGTGGAAGTATTCCAGAACAAGTTTCAACATACTGTGCAATTATAAATTTGTTTACTTACACTAGGTGTGTTCAGAGATAATTAACTATTGCAGCATAATCTTTTTTTTTAAGTGGATATTAAATTATTTCCCCTACAGTTAGTTATCCAATCTAGATTTATTAAAAAGTATTTAAATGGATACATTTCAGGGTCCTAGTGATATGTTTGGTTTGGCTCTTTAGTGTTCCTTAGCCTCATGACCTGATTTCTCATGTAAAGAAAGAAGGAAGCATGAAACTGCTTCCATTTCACGTGAATGTAAACAACATTCTATAGGGATTAGTGAATCATGAAGTCATTTTGGCTAACAGCTTCCAAATTACTCATTTCTGCTAAGATCTCTGAAAGCTGCCTGTGTCTTCACCCAGTTAGGATTTAAATTATTAAGAAAAACAAAACCATTAAAATTTCCTAAGTAGCAGTTATCCCTGATGGGTGCTTTAATTCATGAAAATCTCAGCATCCTCATTAAAAAGTTGACAAGTTTAATACTGCGAGTCTTCAGAGTGGAGAGGGCAGGAGGAATGAATGTACATATATGTGTCCAATATTGGATTTTTTTCCTTTCTGAAAGGAAGAGGGGTCATGTATTTTTAAAGTCCTTAAATCAAATCAAGTTTTGTTCTACCTGTCTGTGAGATTTGACCTGTGTAGTATTAAGTTCAGTTTCTTCTTACATGCTTAATATAAATATTATTTATTTGCATTGTATATTTGTGGACATTTGATTGTCTAATATTTTTTTTGTATTTTTAGTTTTTTCTGTTTTACCTGTTTATTAAGGTAGCAAAGTGTGAATGTGAATTTCTGTCCTGTGCTTGTCAAGAAGACTTGCTTCATGTCATAAAGGAGTGTGGTCTGTTATGAGTTCTGACAGTGGGTGTAGGTTTCATGCTTTTGCAGAAAACAAGACCATTGTGAGACAGCCCCAGCCTCTGTCACAGAGATATGTTCCGGCTGTGTGTGGTACTTTTCTAACACCTTTGGTTTTGAATCATTTCTAGAATGTGTGGCCGCATTTTCTGCTACTACTGCTGCAACAACTACATGGTGACAAAGCCTGGTGGAAAAAAGGAGCGTTGCTGCAGAGCTTGCTTTAATAAGCCTAGAGTCATTGTGGACAGTACAGATGACTCTGGATCCAGTGCCAACCAGGAAGGATCACCAGCTTCATTGGAATCACCTGTGTCACCAGCTGAGAGGGCTTTTGGTTAGTTTATTGTTTGCATGCTGTGGAGAAATAAGTACGGTTCTTCGACAGTCTCCAGGAAACCACACGGCCACCTCCTGCTCCAATGACTTGCAGGAGGTCATGGAGTGTTTTCAGGGTGGGACTGACCCTGTCTTTGAATTTAATTGATATTGAGAGAAACATTAAAGTATTAAATGAGTGTCAGTCAGACAAGGTTTTCCATTAGTTCTAATAGTTATCTAATGCTTCTGCAAATGAAGAGGAATGGCCCAGACTTCCCTCTTAAGGGTTTTGGTTGTTTGTTTTCCAGACAACCAGCTAATAGTGTTCATGTTTCTTCTCATGGTTTTTTTGGCACAGTTGCAAATGAAGATTCTAAACCACCAGATGATGCAGCTTTTGATATAATCACTGATGAGGAGCTGTGCCAAGTGCAGGAATCAGACTCTCTCCACAATGAAAGTCAGATGGAAAGAGACTCTCTGGATCAAAGTGTGACAGATCTGTGAGTAAACAGTACTTCTCAAAGAGGGGACTCTTTGGGATTGGCTTTAGAATGTTCTTTTTCTCCCATTCAAGGAGAGTAGTCAACCTCTGTGGAAAGTGAAGACCTCTGTTCCTAGGCCACGTGTTCAGTAGAACAACACAAGATCATTTTCGTCTGTTTGCACAGTCAGCATTCAATCTAGTAAATCTAAACCACTCCATGCTCTCTCTCCACCTGCTTCACCACAACACAGGGGAGTAGTCCCAGCTCTGTGCTGTCATCAGGCCAGCTGTCACCATTAAAGTCAGCATTCAGGCTCTCTGTGTCTGCAGACTTCCTTACTACCTTAGAAATGACAGCTTACAGAAAAGAACAATTGTGTAGCTACATCTGGCACAAGTTTGTTCTTTTCTTTTTGAAGAAAATGGGAGTGAGTGCAGATTTCAGTAATATTTTAATATTTAATTCTTCCTAAATTTCCAAAGAAAAGGATTTAAGGCCATCTGAATGTCCAAATACTTGGTTTGCAAATAACATTGTAGTATTATAGTTTAATTTGTATCTGTTTTTTAGGCAAAATATTGTTTTACTATTGTTCAGATATTTTCAAATGTTTTACAAAAATTCTGTTCTTTAAAATATATTGTCTTTTGTGAAAAAACAAAAAGAGAAATTTCACCTAAATTATGTGCTTGTTTTGCTTCCAAGCAGAAAAAATAGACAGGATAAATCTAAATGCTGAACTGAAAATAGTCACAGAGTAAATAATCTGCTGCTGAGAAAGCAGACCTAGACTCTTTTGCACCCAACAGACACATTTCCGGTATAAACCACAATGACTTGCAGTTTGGGTTGAAGACAGACAGTACAGACTTGTTTATTTGGTAAAAAGAGTTTTCAAAATTCTACATACTTGTTTCTTGGTAAATACCTTCAATATTTTCTACCTACTCTGTAGACAGTTAACACTGACAGTGTATTCCAGCTTATCATGTGCTGGGCAGACATGAATGAACTGAGCTTCACAGTGCCCTTGTGAATTTAGTATTGCCTTTGTTTTTCAAAAGGACAGTTTGTGGAGGAGAATTTTTGTTTGTTTGTTTTATGAAGAAAAAAGTGAAGCTTTTAAAAGTACTACTTCTTTTAATTCATGCTATCTGCGGGAGGTATATTACAGGTGGGTTAGCTCTGGAGAAAGCAACAAGGAGATGAGAAATAAGTGCGGGTCACCATTTGTTTTAATTCAAGATTGGTCTAAATTAATCTTGTCTGACAAAGTATTCAGGCAGGAAGGAAGGATTGCCACTAACAAGAGGATACTATTGTTGAAGAGCACCCATGGAACAACTTACTTACACCATGTAAACTTTTGAAGGTTGTCCAGCTTCCCTTGTTGTCAGATTATAAGCAGGAGAGCCAGGAAATAGTGCTTTACCCTCTGTTCCTTTTTGTTAGCACTTTCAGTAGCAGGTGGGTGAGTCCTACTGGGGCTGTACTTTGAACTTGAGACATTCTTTGCAGAGAACACAAATGACACCTGCCCTTTCCCATGACACCTGTAATGTTTGGAAAGCTCAGGCTTAGTAGCCTGAGCACTGGAGAGGAAAATGGCCTTCTTGCATTGCAGATGACTTGTTGATTGTGGGTTTGTGTTATGAGTGAGATCTAGAAACTGATACGTGGGTCAGATGATGGTGCGGTGCCTGTGGTGGTGTTAAAGAAAAACAGCAGGGCTCAGTACTGATTGTGACAGCACACAGGTCTTCTCACTTGTTTCTGTGGTGAGGCGTACATGTGTGCTCAAAGCTTGTGTACCCAAAGTTTGAGTGTCACTTAGCACAGGAAGGAACAGGAAGTGCAGCATGAGATACTTGGGTTGTTTGTGAGTAAATGTGCCAGAGCCAGTGTATTTATTGTCTGCTGACCCTCTGTCCTATCTTTGACAGCAGCCCTTGAGAGATGTTCTGAAAACTTTCCACAGTGTTTTCTCCCACAGTTCAAGGACCTGCAGTTCAGTGACTTTCTGAGCTACTGATTTGATTGCTGCAGATTGCTTCCTTGTACTGGGCTGACCACCTTGAACTTCATAGAGACTTATAATCTTTATTCTTTCTAAAGTGTCCAGCTAAATGTGGCCTGATTTCTAGGTGGAAACTTCACATAGTCTCCACTGGCATTCCAATACTGTTCTCTTTGCATTAAATTGAATATTTGGAGGAGAATTTGCTTAGATATAGTGTCTGCGGAACACACAAATGATCCAAGATTGTGGTTGCTAGATGCAGTTCTGAGGAAGGCATACAAATAAGTCAGTTTTCAGGCTAAACTTCTTTATTGAGATCTGCTGAAAATAATCCAAGCTATTTTGGTTTTGCCAGAGATTTGAACCAGCTGGTGGAGCTTTAAAAGTGATGGAGAGGGAAGAGAAGAAGATCTGCAACTGACATGCTCTGTTGACATAGTTTCTTATGATCTCTCCCTCTGGCTGACAGCAGAGTTTTTCACACTGACCACACCTGGAATACTAGGTGTGAGTCCTGTCTGGACTAAAAATGCAAGTTGGTTCTCAAAGCAGTGAATTATCTTAAGGGACATTTCCTGTTCCTATTTGTCCCCCCTTTTGTGCCTACTGTACTTTTACTCTATTTTTCACTTGGTGTCTTAGTCCTGTCACTGTTGTTCTTTCCTTGAAGTGACATGAAACAATTACAACAAAATTATTTAATCACACAAATCTTGAGTCTGCCTTTATTGGTACAGGTCAGTTGTGAATCAATTAAAACTCATCTTAGTCATCAACTGCAGAGGTGTGTGGCAGAATAATGAGAGATAATTGTACCAACATAACTCTGGCTGATCTTGAAGTAGCTATTTCCTAAAGGTGAGGATTAAGCTGCAGTTTCTTCATCCTTTCAGGCTTGTTACGTGTGTTTGGACCAACCAGATTAAAATCTTGAATGTGAGAAGCTGAGATTAATTGTACAATTGTGATACATCCTGCTACTTCAAGGCACGTGGGTTTTCTTTTGAAGTGTTGTATTTTTGAACTCTTATTTCTAAAGTGCATTTGCATATTGTTCTATAAAACAAAGGGCCTCAGGATAAACCAGTGCACTGCGTTTCCATTTTTATGTGTTGTAGGCATAACATGCCTGTAATAAATGTTGCAGCAGTAAAATCAAGATCATAGACAGCAGAAGAGTGAAAAAACCCCAAAGTATCCACTAGCCTGGTACAGGAGCAAAGTTTATTCACACGTGGGTAGTGGTAGAAAGAATATCTCAGCCTGTCTGCATCGTGGTTGCCTTGGTTTGGATTGTTTTTTTTCTTGGTGACTCATAACACTCTTTGCTGACCTAATTACAACTCGCGTGGCTGGGCAGGGTGCAGTGCAGCTGAAAGGGGGAAGTGAATGTGGTCTGAAGCACTCCCTGCCCTGTGCAGAACCAGCCAGGAAGGAGAGGGGACAGGAGCACCTCTTGCCACCCTGTGCTGGCAAAGCCTGCATTGCAGCTGTGTGTTGAGATGGCACCTTTCCACATGCAGTCACGCCACATTGATTTTAGGTTTGTTTTTAAGGATATTTCACTGTGGGAGAAACAAGAAATTGTGGAGTAAGGAAAGGGTTGCCCCAGGAGCTGTTTCCTAAAGGCAAAACTGGTGAGATGGGCAAACTGCTGCCAAAAAGGGTCAGGTTCCTCTGAGCTGCAGTGCTCTGATAGGAAGGCCTGGGTATTTATAGGGAATGAAGGAACATCCAGAGAGTATGGTTTTTGCAAGAATGGTTTGAAGCAGTTAAAATTGGCATTTCAAAGGTGTAATGCAAAGGACTTTGACCCTTTAGGCCACACCCAACCCTGCCTTTATTGCAAGCAGCCCACAGCTGTGTAAAGTCCTCCCTTTGCTCCTCTGCAACATCCCTTCTTTCTTTTCCCTGTTCCAGTGTCCACACCTGCTCTACTACTTTATGCAAGCGCTTTTGCACACTCTTCTGCCCCCTGCACATCTTTTTCCCTCCAACTGGGAGGTGAAAAGACTAGAGGTGGAAAGGGAGAACTGGTGGAACAAAGTTGGAAAACAGCCAAGGAGTATGCAGTCTAATGACAAGGGAACCAAGGTGCCAGGAAAAACAGACTGGAAAGATGTCATGATGCAAAGAATGTGTGGAGAATCAGGGTGTGAGAGTTTGCATCTACAGAAACACTGCTCAGTGTTGGAGCCCATGTGTGTGTGATATGATATTCCTGGTGTTCACAAGGGGCCTGGTAATCTGGCAACATGAGCTCTGTTATAAGATAAAGAGATGTGTATGGGGCATTCAGACCATGAACCTGATGGTAGGTGAAAGGCAGATAAACTCTGGTAAAACGCTGTTTTACCACAAAAATTTTAGATGAATGCTAAAGGATTTTGTCTAGAGACCTTGTCCTAGATGGAAAAAAAAAACCCAAAACATCAAAAAAAACCAAACCAACACACATGAAACCTAGCATGAAGATTGAGTATATATGTTTAAAATCCAGGAATTCTCATTAAATGAATGGGCTGAACTAAAAGATGTAATATATTTCAAACAACTCATAAAAGCTTTCATTAACAAACACCATTCATAGAAAACCAGCAGGCAAGAGGTTTGGGAGTCAGGAAGTTCAAATTACCTTTATGTCATGAAAAGTGGAGTTTTATCTCATTGGTTTTTTATACTTTTTGAAGATCTGCACTGTTAACTCAGTTACCAGCTTGGACTGAAAAAGCAGGAAGCAATAAAAAGTATCATGATGAAAATAAGTTGGTTCTAAGCTGATCACAATATTTTTACTAATGGTATTTCCTCTTTCACTCAGACTCCCTACATCAGTACTTACAAACAAAACAAACAGAAAAAAAGAAGCTGAAAAATAGTTGCCAGATTTTCTAGGCAGTTTTATAGTGAGTACATGTTTGTGGCATCTGCACTATATAAAGCAGTAGAAGATTTAGAGTCTTCCTCTTTGGTGGTTTGCCACTCTCCAGCTGTAATTTACCATTTGGCACATCTCGATTTTTTTAACTTTGTGTTAGTACTTCCTGATTTTCATTCCCATGAAGAAGTAGAGGATTAAGACAGGCATAAAAATAAGCAAGAGCTTTTGTTATGGTAATTGCATATTCAAAGCTGCTGTTCAATTTAAAGCTCCAGTCTATGATTTTTATCAGTCTGAAGAAAGTATAGGGTATCTGGGTAAGAATAAACAGGACAACTACAGAAAATATTTTTATAGATATGTTCTTTTGGAGATTTTTAGCACACAGTAAGGTTTTAATAATTAGTGAGTAGCGGATGATCATGGCAAGCATGGGAATAAAATAAGCAAGAGTCATTTGGATCACTCAAGAACCAGTTCTGTGTGACAGTTTGGGTATTCTTCCTGACATATTTCCTTATCAAAATTAACACCTCCCAAAAAACAAAGTGTGGTGCAGCAAATGCTTGTGAGATCACCCAGATCAAGACAGAGATTAATTTGCCCCATGTCATTTGTTTGGTTTGACACATGTGCTTTGGTGGCAAAAGTAACAGCAATAAGCTGGTCAATGGTGATAGACATTAGAATTAACATTCTAATTGTGAAGTGTGTACAAGCCACAGTGCCTGGAATCCACTCTGGAATCCACTTCTGAGCAGCAGAGTATGCTCAGAGTGGCAGCATGCAAAGAAAAACCCAGTCATCTATAGCCAGGTTCAGCAAAAGTACTGTGAGTTTCTGCCAGTGTCTTCAGTTTCATGTAGAAACTTAGTACGACAAAGACCAGTGCATTTCCTGCTAGGCCAAGGATGAAAACAACAAAATATATATGTGGCAGGAAGACTCTTATTAATATGAAAATTCTCATTTCTGTTTTCATAGGGATGAGTGAGGGAGAAGTTATAATAAAAGTTAGCATTATCTGTAGTTGCCATGTTGCCTTCTTTTAAAGACAGCCTGGAAGGAGACATATTGAGATTTTTTACTCAGCAGATAATTAAATCCTAATGCATCCAGGAGACAGACAAAATCCTAAGTGCTAACAGATGAGAGTTGTAGTAAAGCATCCATGACAGACAAAGGCAAATCTATTTATTTGCTGAAGAGGATTGTCTTGACAGTCAGGACCAAAACACAGCAGCTGGTGGATTTGAACACATCATCTGTTACCAGATTTATGGTAATTTATGGGACTCAAAAGCATACTCAAAAGACAATTACAAAGAGGCTTCTGGAAACAGTGTAAGGATTAAGCTTTCTAATACATCAGTGATTTAGTGCTTGAATTGAGGTTTCTGGGGAAACCCATGAGAGAAATAAAATTTGTTTTGTCAAATTTACCATTTAGGCTCGGGTTGCAGACTCTGAGCATCAGAGTTGTTTGGCTAGGGCTGGACCTGTCCCAAAAGTCAGGATTTGAGACTCAATGAGTACTTCAGGACTTGTGTTTCAGTTAAGCCTCATCTTGTTCTTTAGATGTCAGTCACATCATCAGATGGCAGCACTTCTTCCTTTCCCCATTTCAAGTGACTAACTGAAACATGGAGGATTTTCATTAATGCACTACATTTGTGTTACTCTCAGAGGGAGGTGTCACCAATTCTCTGTCAGCCCCTTCCATCACACTCCCTTGCGAGAGTTGATGGGGTTTTGCAGTGTCAGCTCTCCAAGTTAAGGAGAGGCTTAATTCCTTAAGCCTCTCCTTAACTCAACAGCCCTGCAGTCAGGGCTGTTGCCAGCAGATAAAGTAACAGCCCCAAGACTAGTAATCTTTGCAAGCTGTTTACCTGGTAAATTAAGTCTTTTGTAAGATAGGTTTATTGGCTTTTAAAGATTCAGCCCAAAAGCTAAATGCCCTCTCTTTTGAGCTACAAAAACCATGTTAATGCTACTAAAAGATATTACTCTGCATAAGATTTGCAGAACTCACCTCTGATTCAAGATTGCCTGAAAGGCCTCACCCAGTGAGTTCTAATGTACAACAATTCAAGGGTCCCCTGGTTCTGCAAGAGGGGGAAACACTATTGAGAGAAATGAGCCCATGCAGGCAGATCTTTGCAGCAGCCTGTGCTACCATAGCTGGAGTACTTCTGGAACTCTGACTTGTGGTGCTGTGAGCTTGTATCTGTGACTGCTTGAGTTTGGTGTCTGCAAATGCATATAAAAAAAAACAGCACCAAATTTGTCTTACTTCTGCAGCATCATTTATTGAAAGAACACTACTGACATGAGAAATGTAAGGCTGTGTAATGCTCTTTAAAAACTGAGTTCTCCTTTGTGCTTCATTGCATGTGATAGAAATTTCTCTGCCTCTAAGAAACAAACTGAGAGCAAGGTGCTAAATATTCACAAATTGTTCCTGTCAAACAGCGGAGCAATATGTTGTGATAACCACCTGCTTTTATGAGTTATTTTGAGGTGCAGAATAAGGTATGAGGATGACACAGCAGTGGCTGAGCTGTGTGATAACATATGGGTTGTGTGAATTTATCCCCTATAAGGAGTGGGCTGAGAGAGTAACTCTTATTCCTGGATGGGTCAGTCTGAAGAACATTTGATTGTAGATCTGTGAAGGACCTTGGGTGCAGAAACAATCCTGGCTGCAGGGAACGTGCAGGCTCTGGGATGGAGCAGCCCTCCCTGCCCAGCCTGTGGAGCTACAGGCTGGGCAGGGAGGGCTGGGCAGCAGCTCTGCTGGAAGGACATGGGGCTCCTGGTGGATGCTGGTGTAAACTCAGGCCAGAAACTGCTTCTGCTGTATTGCTCCTATAATTTTGCCTTAGTTTCCCTTAACAGCTTCTAAAGAACTTTGTGAAAAGAAAATTCAAAGGTGTCTTAACTAGTGCTACCCACAGAGGTGGCTATAGCCTTGGTGATCTACAGGCTGCAGTATTTGGGCTATACTGGCAGCAGCTTGTCAGTATTTTTAGTGTTGATTTCCAGTCTTCTGTTTGCTGCCTCCTGCTGGGAAGGGGACTTGAAAGCACCCTGGTAATCCCTAATAGAGTGTGACCAGTTTTAAGGCAGGGGAGTCCTTTTGTATTGTTTGTTGGTTGTTTTTCTTTGTTTCATACAGGATGCAGCATAGCTAAGTCATAGATAATTTTTTGAGAAATATCTGGGATTTCATTTATAGCAGTAAGCATCTGAGCCATAGCACACAGTGATGGATCTTCGTGTCCATCCATCTTTTTCTGTGTAGTTTTGCAATTGTCTGTGTAATGCTTTGCCATGTCAACATGTGTCAGGGTTTGCCCTCAACACTTCCATCCCTTTCCCACCCATACACCTTCATGCAAGACACTGTCTTGCACCCTGTTAAAAACTCTTTGAGCTCTGTATCACCCTCACTCCATCCCAAATGATGCCTGTTTTCTTGCCCATGTGAAGGGCTGTCTGTGGTATCCTTTCTTCTGATCCTTTAGTGTCCTCTTTCCATTTTTTCTGCTCTCTATTGGGTTGTAGAGGAAGGCTAATAAATAAGTTAGGGTGCCTGGGGTGGGTTTGACCTGCTAGATAACAGCAGGCCCAGGGAGTCATTGGTGCACTTCAGCATAATGCCTTTGATGTTTCTTTGCATTTTCAGATGTGTTTGCTGGGCTAAGCAGCTGTTAGGGACTCTGTACAGCCTCCAGTCTCCGTTTCAGGTTTCTGCCTTTCACACAATTCGGTAAGACTCTCACCTGGATGACAGAAGTTCTCTCCAGAAATCATTGCACTGCTGACAGGCAGATGGCTTCTGGGACTTCACTGCTCAGCCACATGAAGCCAACACCACTGGCATGTAGCTACAGCTGTCAGAGCTCAGGTGTTTATGAGAACAGAAAATTGCTGAATCTAGATTTGAACCATTTTTTTCAGGTTTTAATTCTAAAAGTGATTTCTAACTTTTAACTCCCCAAGCCATTTATGATGTTGGCCTCAGTATTTTTAGTATCATTTGTAAGAAATGCTTTCCATGTATAAGAACAGGCACAATGGACAAGGCCATCCACCTTAGGGACAGTGACCAAGAGCAGGTGCCTGAGGAAGTGCATAAGAACAAGACCAGCATGAAGCAATAACTCTTCAGAGTGCTCTATCAGCTTCCAACAATCCATGTCTTGAGGCTTTGCTGAATCAGAGCTGTTCTGTTCTTGCTGTAGTGTCTTTTCCATGTTTCAGTTCTTTCTGCTTTTTGTCCCACTTCATTTCATTTTTAAAAATAAGAAGAAGTGACAGAATACAGACTGTTTAAATAGATACACCAGAGGCTGCATATTTATAATCTGGGGACCTGGCAAACTGTAGGAACATCCTTAGTGCTAACACAAAGGCTGAGTGGGTCGTGCAAGAATAAATTATCTTGTCAGGGGAAAAATGTTCCAGTTGAATCATTATACTGTTTCTGATATTATAGCCTACCAAACCTTAGTTTAGACTGTTAGACTCAGTGAGATATCATAAAGAGAAGGAGGATTTTCTTTGTGATTATAGGCTTTTTTTTTTTAAATACCCAAATCAGGATACTTAACACTCCCTTAGCCTTAGATGTGTGGTGAATATATTGGTCCTGGGATTTAATTTATATTTCAGGTTTCCTAATGAAAGATGAAATTAATGGACTAAATCAAGAACTCTAATGGGATTGTGTAGTAAATAATGGAGTTTGACACTTCTGGAAAGCCTGTAATTGTGTAGTTCTCTTGCTCTGCATGAATTCAAGGCTGTGAAATTAAAGTTGTGTAGCTAACCTGCTGGGATGGGAGACTTATGTGGATCACAGCACAAAGCTGGTTGCTGTTCCCACTGTGCAAGCAAAGTATGTGTAGGTTTACAAGCTATAGTTTCATTTTCTAGTTTGTGGTTTTGGGGTTTTTTTTCCAGAATCAATTTTCTTATCCAGTTGTATAAAGATAGTTAACAAGAAATTATTCGTATCAGTAAGTATTTACACAGATGTTGTACTAACCTTTATGGAACAACACGTAGTAAGTACTCCATGCCTACATTCCTTGTATCTGGTTACAGCTCAGGTTTTGGCACTTAATTACAGCTTTGAGTCTCCCATTCACATCCCAGCTGTCACTTTAGGGTATTAACAGTAGTGGTGTGACTGAAGAAGTCAAGAGGTATTCAAGAGACTGCAAGAATAAAAGAATAGTAATATCAAGAGTTCAGGAAATGTATAGACAGTGGGTGCAGTTTAATTTGCAGTCATAACAGTAAATTCGTCCAGTTTCCAAACCATGATGTCACTGCACTAAACTGGCATGTGATTGCATGTTGGTGACACAGTATATTCAGATGCTGCTCGTAACCACCTGAAGGAGATATTTTCTCATGCTCTTCTGCTCAGCAGTACTGCTTGTAGAGCAATGTCCCATTGGATTTCAAAGAAAATTCTAAATTGTGCATTGATTTTGAGAATTGGTCTACAGCAGGTGTGGCAGTTATGCTCTCTTGGGGCATTACAGCACTTGATGGTTCAGAAGCACATATTTTATTAGAGTCCACTGGTTTTTGGAAGGAACCAACCAGCTGGTTCCCTGTAAATTAGAATCTCTGGCATTTTTCTGGGACAGCTTAATTGTCTCAAATTTCTGGAATGCAGAGGAACAAAACAAGAATCAGGGAGAGAAGCTATAATTTACTTGGAAACTATCAGCGTTTGTTCCCTGACTCTCAAACTCATCCTTCTCTCTGTGTCCAGCCCTGTAATTCATACCTGGTGCTACTCCAGTGTTCACCCAGAGCATACACCTTTTTTGAGGTAAGGAGTGGATAGCAGGTTCTTCCCTCTGCTTCACTGGTCTCTGGGACACATCATGGTGTGGAGGAAACATCCTGCTTTGTCATCTTGTAACAGTATCTTTGGTGTGTTTGTGTTCGAATCATGAAGTATTTTTTGTACGAAAAGAAGACACATGGTAGCAATTCTACAGCAATAGAATATGTTTTGTGTACAATTGTCAGAGTAAGGAACTAGATAATATGTCTGTAAAACACCTCACAGATTAAATCCAGGGAGACATCTTATCCTTTTGCAAACACTTAAGGGACAAGTGGAGACTGTTTTGCTTGTGTCTGCTCCTCAAGTTCCCACCTGCCAGAGAATATTCAAAACCTGTCATCATCTCAATAAGAAATTTATGTTATGATTGCAGAAAAGATTTTCTGGCTGTATTTATGTATTTTGCTTAGTTCATGAAACCAGTATAAAAACAGATTTGCATTTGTGCACAGTGATGAGCAGAAGGGGGCTGTGGTTTTGCCCAGTTTTGTCACTAGAATGGGCCAACTAATCCTAGAATTTGGTATCAGGACTATCAAAACATTTGTGTTTTAGGAAGGCATAAGCATGTAGACTGTATTTTATCACATACTACTCAGAGAATCATGATTTTCCTTCTTTTCCTTGTTCTAGAAACAGCACGGGTAATTCTTCAACTTTCGATGAATCTGAAGACTGGCAAGTTGCTCAAGATGCTGAGATATGCTTGTTGAAGTCAGGAGAAATTATGTAAGCAGAACAATTTCATTGCTATAGGTGAAAGCATAAAGGCTGAGCTCAGATACCAGCTATTTGAGCACAAGCCTTGCAGGCTCCTGGAAAAGCTGCTCACTTGTGTCCCATGGTAGAATTTGGTCTGAGGAGGATGAGAGGGTGTAAATCAACCACACAGAGCAGCAGCAATGAGCCAGGTCCTCTCTCTTCAGTCCCAGTGCAACTGGGAAATAAGCAGGAAAGATGTAGGTCCACATCACATGAGAAAACATTTCCTATTTTTATTGCAGGAATTGCTGTCAGCATGAAGAGGGTTTAGAGAAAAGGCTGTGCAGTTCTAACAGTCTCTGAAAGAAACTGCAAGGGCAAGTCAGGGATGCAGCTCTAGTTAGACCTTTGCCAAAGGCAGGGAATTCATGGCCTAATGTATCTGTTATTTATTGGTGGCTTCCCAGAATCTATTTTGCCTGCTCTGGTTGATACATGCCATAGCATAAAATGTTTGTCTAAGCCTCAGCTCAAGCTCTGTGTGTACAATTCTCTGCACGTGTCCTGCTCTGAAATTCCTAGTTACATGCAGTAGTGATACAGCATGTCACTTGCACAGCCAAGAATGGAATCCAATGTGTGGAAATGCACATGACTTAGAGAAATTCACCTTTACTCACTCTCCCGTTAAACCTAGCTTTGAAATTTCACCTTAGTTATGGGACAAGTTTTAAACTTGTGACTGCATGTAGATAAATCAGTCCATGTGTCAACCTTGTTGCTGCTGTTCAGAGATCCAGGTAAATGAAGCAGTAACTAGAATCATAGGGCTGTAAGGCAAAACCAAGAATGATATTTAGATTATTAAAATCAAAGGTCACCTGAGACACGACTGGACTGTAGTTTACTCTGATCTCATTGATTTGCAAAGAGTTTATGTGGCCTGAAGAGTGACAGATGAGATTAGTTTTAGTTAGGGTAATGTGGGTGAGATCCCACAGATCTTAGAAATTACAGGTTTCCCCTGAAGAAAGTAACCAGTGTTCTCCTGCTTCACGGCCTCACTGATCACAGTCTTAAACAGATACCAGAATGAAGTCAGCTCATCTAATGCTGTAGGACTCTGCATCATCTAGATGCTAAGAATTTCCTTTCTAACTGGAAGTATTTTGAGTCAGGTTTTTTGCAGCTTGCTTGGGTAAAGAAGACCCACATGTAGCAATAAGCACTTCAGAACAGAGCTGCTGTTCATATTTCACCCACCTGTCTCCTCTGTAGTCCTGACGCCTCCTGTTTCCTGTGCAAATTTTCATATTCAACTAGAAGGTGAATAAACCAGGTCACTTACTTTTTGCTTAAAAAGAACAGTAGAGGGCAGCCCTCTTTTCTTATCTGTAGTAACTCTAAAAAGCTTTATTCCAGCACTGGTTTTCTTCAGTTGACATGAGATAAATAGGTGAACAAAATGCAGTTGTGCCAGAGCAGTGAAGGTTCTTTTTTTGTAGTTTTTACCTTCATCTGAGGCTGAATTTTCATGCATCTCGTGGACGTGTCCCAAATACACTGTGGAGTCTACTTGAAATAGATGGAAAATAAAAATCAATGATTAGTGGTTTTGTCTGAGTAAGTGGATTGGAGCTCTTCAAGTAATCATATATTTCTCCTCACAGGATGAAATTACCCCTTACAGTAGAAGAGATCATGAATTTTGGAGAAAGCAACAGAGAGCTGTTCATCAAATCCAGCACCTACAGTATCATTCCCATCACTGTTACAGAGATGGGCCTAACAATCAGCTGGATCTTCTCATCAGACCCCAAAAGCATATCCTTCAGCGTTGTCTACCAAGAGTCCGAAGACACGCCGCTGGATCAGTGCAAAGTAAGGCCTTTGTCTCCTTACTACCATACAGGTTGTACTGCTCCACACTCATCCAGCCTACAGGAACTGACAAGTATTGCTAGGAGGTCTTCACCAGAATGCCACTTGCTAATGCATTAAGGATTTGTTTCTTCAGTTAAGCTGCAGTTCTGCTAAAGGCAAAGCTACATCTTTAATGTTGCCTGCAAAAGTTGAGTTGAAAAGCCCTGTAGCTTCTACTGGTTGCATCTGAAATTCACCCAGTATTAGTAAGAAAAACTGAATGTCCATGTATGCAAAATGTTTTTTTCTCAATTTCACTTAGTTTGTAAACTCTTTAAGGCTGGTTTTGCCAGGCTTTTGAGAGGAAGCCACAGGGAAACAGATTAATTTCTTGGTTTACATACATTTCTTACAATGAAGCATATACTTAAATGCCTGGATGGTGTGCAAAATATCTTTGCCAGTGCCCAAAGTACCTGGTTTTATATGTGCTGACCATATTTCATGAGGATTACAGATTAAGTGAATCTGTTTTACTCAACTAATTGCAAAGTTTTGCTGAAGACAGGGCAGCTGTTGGTTTAATTCACTGGAGTAGGGTGAACTCTGTGGCTGTGATTTACTGGGGGAATAAGTGTGTTAATTCACTGAACAGTTATTAACTCCATGTAAAATATCTCTTTTTCTTAATCTGAAAGCTGAATGAAGTGAATGCTGTTTTTGTTTTGATATATTTCTGTGGTAAAACGTTGTGTTGAATAGGGTCATCCTTGATCTATGTCAGCTGCTCTTCTGACAGCTGTGCTAGAGTTTTACAGCAAGACACATAGAACCACAGATACACACACTTTTGCTTTAAGCTCAGATAAAAAATTAAGATTTGCTGAGAAAGCTTATTTTGTAACACGGGGAGTATAAAAACATATATTAAAAGATATATTTAGCTAAATCCTGCTCTTGGATATATATTACTTGATTAAGTTATTAAAGTTTCTTAGATTAACATTTAAAAGTTCAGGATTTGATTCTCTCTCTAAAGCAGAGATGAATAGTCATAGGTTAGTGATGTAAATATGTAATTCAAGGAGAACAGATGTATCACTGTGAGGTTTTAGTTTGGGGGAGTTTTTAATGCTAATCAGAGTAATTAGTTTTACAGGCATAGATGCACTTTGGGAGTTTCGAGGTGGCTGAAATCAAGGCTTTCTGAAAGAAAATGCCAATTTATAGGGCAAATAGCAAACTTCATTTTGATTTCTATTGAATTCCAGGTTCTTATCCCTATGACTCGCTGCAACTCTCATAAGGAAACTATCAGAGGACAGGTGAAAGTCAGAAACGCTGGAATCTACACTCTGATATTTGACAACACATTCTCTAGGTAGGTCCTAGAAAGGTGAAATAAGCTTGGTTTTACAGGCTGTGGAACTGATCAGATGTACCATTATTCTGCCATTCAGAAGTAAGTATAAGAAAATTTTCCTCACTTGCCAAGAGGTCTTCAAGACTGAGTTTTGCTTCTTGTTCTTGTTTGGGGTGTTTTTTTCCTACCCCTACTCTTAGAGTAGCAAAATTCTACTCTTCTTTCTGAACCTCTGGGAGGGTGAACAGAAGTAAGCAAGTCATTGGTGACTCATTCCAAGACAGTTCAGTCAGGACTGTAATCTTTTTAACAACAAACCTGATGGCCCTTGCACAGGCATACTTTTTGGCAACAGTGAATTGAAAGACTGAAAGCCTTTTAAGGCATCCTATCTTTGTTGGCTTCAGCTAATGTGACCTTTTTGCTCTCTTTCTTTCCTTAACAGATTTATCTCAAAAAGAGTGTTTTATCACTTGGCTGTTGAGCGACCTGTCATCTATGATGGAAGTGATTTTCCATAGCCTTTACTATACTGTGTATTTTTAATTAAATTTTTAAGATATGCTATTATTTATGTATATGTGTAAGCATTCTGATTACCACTGTGTTTGAAGACTTTGAAACTATGCAATAGTTCTAATGCACTTAAGAGATGTGTACACTAAAATCAGAAGCCTTTTCAGGAACACTAATGGTTCTGTACTGTGTACAGATTGCTGAAAAGCCATGTTGTTTGGTTTAACAGGTCAATAATAACCAATATTTTTTCAGTGGGGAGAAAAATAAATGTGGGAGTATCTAAATGCAATCTGAAATTCTCTGCTGAAAATTGAGCTGTTTTTCTTCCAGAAATATCCTTCAAAAGGAAATTTAAAGAAAAATGCCTATTTTTTACCTCTTCACTGAGATGTAAACATAACCATCTCTGTTCTGCTGTACTGCTCTTACAGTCAGAGCAGCAATTATGCAATACTTCAGCCTTCACAATTATTGTAATCCATCTAGAATTTTTTATCTTTTCCAAGTTTTATAAGCAGCAAACCATAGGAGTTTTATACATTCTGGGCTAAGATTTGGTAAGTCTTAACTGGCTTTTTCCAATGCTTTGGCACTGAATACCAGTTACAAAATAATAAACACAAAGCAGCAGCTCCTTTCACTTTGGCTCACCATACTCTACGTTAGCCCACGTAACCCAGTTCCTACGGTGAGCAGCAGGGGCAGAAGGTCCCCTGTGGAATAAAGTACTGCTCACAGGGTGATATTGGGAAGAGGAGCATTCCTTTTTCCTGCCTTAGCACCTTAGTCATCAGCATTCACAGGAAAGCACAGTTTCTGAGAGATCAGCTGCGTCTCTCTCTCTAGACCACATGGAAGGCAGCAATAATGTTTGAATGCGTCTCAAAACGTCCATCCAAAATGGAATGCATATCCAGGCCTAGTGAGCTCTCCTCCCAGTGGTATTACTGCATTCTGTCCCTTTCCTAAGCCTTGCAGTTGCCCTATCCAACTGCTAACTTTCCATGTCAGATTTGGGGGCTGTTAGCGCTGCCTCTTAAGGGAAGACTGGGTTCTTGCTTATACAAAATTTCTATGCAAACCATCTGCTTTCCATACAGAATTTCAGCTTTTTGTCAAAATACCCAAAAGTGGATTTTTCTGTACAAAAAAACCTGTCTTCCAGTAGCATGGCAAAACATTTGGCAGGAGAAAGAAGAAAAGCTCTTTCTCCCAACCAGCCCTCCTCATAATTTAGGTGTGTCTGATTTCTCATGTTACTGTTCTCCCAAGAAACCTCAGACCTGGAGGATTTTAGTGCAGGAGTTGGTAGAAAACTGCAAAACCTGTGAGTAGCCCTTTAGAGACATGGTGGCAGCTGTAGCTGACATACAGGGGTCATGGTGGGAGACAGAAAATAAAGCATGAGGGGGAAGAAGAAAAAAGGGCAAGCATAAACTGCAGCAAATGGTTTGGAGGGAGAAAAGGGGCCAACTTGTAAAAGCAAGAAGAGGAAATTGGAGGAACAAGTTCAGCCAGGGAAGGTGGTCAGGAGAGGCCAGCTGGTGTTTATGTTTTGCTGGTCCAATCCAATACCCATAAGGGATCTCCCACCCCAAAGAATTCGTTGTTTAAAAGGTGGAGATCACAAACCAAGTGTTGGACATTTACACAGGAGCAGCTGAGGCAGAGGGAAATTTCTGATCATAGAAAAGAAAATAATTGCAGTTAAAGCTAAAGGTTGCTCATCATTTGTTCCAGTTGTTAACAGTCTATAATACAGTGGTCCTGAAAAAGATTGTGAAAGGATGACTACTTTTCATGGAGCACCTAGGATTTAGGTCTCTGGCTCATCGATAGCATTCCCTTGCCTTCAGCTGCCTTTTTCCCCATGATGCTGGTGTGCTCCCAACCCTCTGCCAGGCAGAGTGGTCAGTGGAAGGTGCAAGTTCCTGAAGGCTGCAGTGTAGTTAAGCCCTGACCTGGTTGTGTGCATGAAAATGAGATGGACGAGAGATTGATGTGAGCAATAAATGGCGTGGATCGGTTCATGAATTACAGCATATTTCAGTCCTGAAGCTATGTTTTTTATTTAATTAGGTAAGAAGAGATTATTTATTGCTTAAAAATGGAGTACTGTGTACCATATGCTATGCAATTTCACTGAGCTGTTACTGAAGTCTGCTGCAGTTTTCTTTTAAGCTTTTAGGTGTGGTTTTTAAAAACATTTTGCTGTTGTTTACTTAGAATACTAATTTTACTTAGAATCCCTAATACCAGGGATATCTTTCTAACATGCCAAATGTAAGGTAAAGGGACACTGTCAAGTATCTTCAGCCAAAATATCACATCTCTCTTAAAAAGTATTTTAAGTCTCTCTACTAAAAATAATATGACAGCCTTGCCTCTTGATTTCTCTCCACATCCAGTTCTTGACATTTTTTTATCCTCTGGCAAATATTTTTAAGCCCCTGTTCATGTAGCTCTTAAAATAATTGTCTCCATGTAGCATGCCAGTTGTTTCTGTGGAGGTCTCTCATGTAGACAGTCCTGAGACTGGCTGAAGCCTTTGTTTGGGAGAAGTGGAGTAAATCCACCGCATTGTTCTCATTTAGCATCTGAGTCTTTATGGTCCCTTTTCTTCAGGTTTTCCTGCCCTTTGAGAATAATTTTATTGCTTTTTTTTTTTTCTCTCTCTGAAAGAAGCCTAAGAGTGGGAGTCAGAACCTGTAGTTTAAAGATGAATAGAAAATGTTTGTTTCTGACCAAAGACAATCCTTAAGGAGAAAAAGTTTAAAATGATGAAATATCAGGCTGGTAAGGTGCAAGTGGACAGGAGTGCAGCTGTTCAAAGAAGCTTCCCAGGAGCAGTAATCCCATCATAACTGCTGGAAGAGGCTGTGCAGAGACACTAAAGAACCTGACATTAGTAGAGACCTTTTGTTTAAATGTCTCAGACAGTTCATTACTGGAATCATTGAAACTCCAATAAAGGACTTTGCACAAGGGCAGGCTTGTGCAAGAGATTATTCAATTGTGCAAGAGATTATTTCATTCAGGCACCTCATTCTTCCATTCATAAAATTCTTGTTCATGTGAGCTATGCCAGCAATGCTGAAAAATCTGTTTATTTGTAGGTGCTCAGGTGATTTGCTGAATTGGGCTTTTTATTATCTGCAGGAATGCAATAAAGAGAAAAATATTTTTAATTGATCAAGAAATTAATTGAAGGAGATGTCACATTCACAGGACAATTAGATTATACATTGTGATTAGCATAAGTATTTAGATGTTTTTCTGGGTGCTGGAAAGAGTAAGGAGAGGTAGAGGGTAAGATTTTTTTATTACAAAGAGGTTTGTGCAAAGAAAAGAATGTAGCTTCTTCAAGAAAATGACAGTGTTCCTTTACTCAACATTACTCAATGTTTCTTTATAAAAAATGAAAGAGGTATTGCACAAGAGTGTACCATATTAAAAAACAGCAAAACTACAAAAGCCTGACTTCCTAAAACTGAAATTGCACTCTAGTTTTAATTATGCTCAATCACTGAGGTTGTAACTTGTTCAAAAGCATCTTTTGGTCTTAACTGCCAAAGAAATGCAAGCCCTGTTCACATCAAACTTCCTGCTCCAGATATGGGAAAAATCATGTATAACAGTGTTTGTACAGTTACAGAAATGTTAATGGTTGTGTTGGAATGTTTTTCTTGATGCTTTTTTCCCCCTTTTTTAACCTCAGGAATTTAAGAATAAAATTCTTTATCATTGCGAATGTTTGTCCCTTTTTTACCTTGTAGAGATAGCATTGTGTGGAAGATAAATCTGATAATTGTATAATCTGCTTGGGGATTTTATGAAATTTATGTTGTTCCATCCCCTCATTTCAAAGCTACAATTACCAATAGACGGTTCAGAGCATCTCCAGAGGCATCTGGAGTCCTGGCTCCACATTCAGAAGCTTCCCTCTAGGAGAAGCTCCAGCAAAGCCTAATCCTGGAGTATGAGGAACCTGCAAAGGGTGAGTTTTATCTATAGCCAGTACATGTGTAAGTGACCATACCTTGCTGTACCTCAGCCCTGCAGGGAACTGCTGCAGCCATTGAAAGTATTTGTGACCATCTCCAGTAATGCATTTTTGTCCATCCTGGATAATATCCCCTCCCTTGGTGCTAGGGGAAAGGCTCTCCTAACCCTCCTTCTGCCTTATATTTCTGTGCCCCAAGAACAGGCCTTGGCTCACACAGAGGATAGCATTTTTCTGTGAGGACCATGTGAAGCTGCTGCAAGGTTGTCATATCCTCTGCATTAGTGCTTGAAGTGTCACAGGGATGCTTTGAAGTCCAAATATAGTAATAATTCCCGTACGTTCACACCTTTCTGTCACTTCCCTGCTCTCTGGAAGAGGTGCTTCTATAAAGATGTCTCTGTTTTGGGAGCAGCCTGACTCAGAGCAGGATGTGCACGACCCAGGGACAACCCCGTCACCCCAGACTGCTGCAATTCATTGCTGTTTCACCACCCTCAGCAGTTTCACCTGCTGATTGAGCATGAATGTTTCCCACTGTGTTTTGGGGACTGAAGAAGCTTTACTTTCTGTGAGATGGCCATGAAGTTGAGGTTCCTGGGGCTGGTGAGTTGTAGTGCAGGGAAGAGGAGCTTGCAACAGCTAAGATTTGCACACTTCTTGTTTGCATAACTCAAGGGCTCTTTGGGGGCCAGGAGAGCCCTCTGAGTAAGAGCCCTATCACCCCCAGCCTCAGGAAGGGGTAGTGGCACTGAGCTGCTGTGGGGAAGCATCTGCCCCCAATGTGCTCCCTCCTACCCTGCCCCCAGAAATCTGCCCTGCCTCCCCAGACTGCATTCCAGCCCTCACCTCAGGAGCCTAAACCTGCTCAGGTGCCTGCGGCATTCTCAGCTGCAGCTTCCACACCACGAGAGTTAGATATTTGAAATAAAACCTCTTAGCAAAGTTCTCCTTTGGCCTCTTTTGAGAGGGGTAAATGCTGTGATTGCAAACAGGTTATGTGTATGGATCCAATCTGGGAAGGATGTCTGGGCAAGAAATAACCAGTTCATCTCCTTGGTGTATGTGGCAGTGCCTTTATTTAATTTTGGCTTCTGTTTGCTGAGCACAAATTACGAAAACCCCCCACACCCTTCTTATACATACAGTGAAAATTATATACATATTTGACCATTTTTCTTTCTAAGGAAAAGGTAAAAAAAAAAATCCTAATAAATGTATATGAAACTTGAACCCCATCTGCCTAGGTATACCCTATTAGCTAGAAAAGCAGCACCAAACTGTGCAGAAAGCTCTTGTTTATCAACACGCTTTAATGATAAATGCACAATGAAAACCCTTTTTCCCTGGAAGAGCTAAGCACCAGAAAGCAAACCAGGTTCCATGAAATTATTTAAAACAAAGCCTCCTGAGCACTACATCCTGCAATTGAAGAGTGGGAGGTGCAGGCTGCGGTCAGGCAGGACAGGTGGGGCCATGTCCCTGTGAGGGGATGAGCAAGGAGGAACAGATAAATGATGCCCTGTGGGCTCAGGTTTTGGGGTGCACTAGAGCACACCACTTCTGGGAATGGCAGCCTCCACATTCCAAATTTCATCAGGTTTGACAGTTAATTACTCCCTGTCTTGCTGGTCCTAGGTTAAATATATTTTCCAAAGTTAGTGGTCAGCTGAACCATGGGTTTGGCTTTTGTGTTCTGGTTTATGACAGCTTTGCACCACACAACAAATATCACCAGGACAGACAACTCAATGTCTCCAAAGCCCTTCATTTTTTGTTGTGAGGGGTGATTTGATTCCAGTATCAAAACAGGAGCCATTGTACCTGACATCACACAGCTAAAATACAGGAGAAAGACAGACCACATTCTGCAATGCCCACTTTATGTACATGAACAACTGGCTTTTCTTTGCAAGAAAAAACACCTATGCAGCCAAACAGAGTTGCATTTGCTCAGGCACAGAGAGGAGCATTTGCTCACTGCTACAAACCAGTGTCAGAGCTAAAGGCCATTCTCCTTTACATGGGATGGGATCTGGTGGAGGAATCTGGCAGGGCTCCCAAGTCAGGCCACATTCGTAGGGGAACCTGGTGTGACAGCAAATGATGGCTGATCCCCCTCCTGCTGCTTCCTATGGACAGAATGCTTCATCTTCCTCTGTTGCTGCCATAGCTGGGATTATCACCTGCTGTGAGACTTGTTATTTCAGGTTGTGGTCTGAGCTGCAGACGGGCCAGCTGTCACAAAGACAGTTTTTGACATCTATCAGTTCTGTTTATAGCAAGTATGGTTCCATTTTGCTCCCATCTGCCAAAGGTTTCTTGTTCTCTCAGCCAGCAATCCTCAGTTGGGTCCTACATGTCAAGGGCAGGCCCCCAACCCTTTCTGCCCCTCTGGGATAATCTTTGGGGTATACAAATGGTTTCCAAAGAGCTTGGTGCTTCTCTGGAGAGGAGAAGGTGAGGACTGACTTACAGGATGACTTTGCAAGGAGGGGACATAACAGAGGAGGTCCAGTGAGTGTTGAGGATCAGGGAGTTCCTGACCCGCCGCCCCCCCAGCATGGCAAAGGACCAGTTTGAGCTGTGCTCCTGGCTGTCACAGGCAGAGGAGGGTTCCTGGCCCCTGCTCCAGCAGCAGCCACAGCTTTGCATCATCCTGCCCAGCGCCATCCTGAACCGCTCACCAGCAAAGACATAGAGGAAGGGGTTGAGGCAGCTGTGGAGGAAGGCGATGACCTGGGTGACCTGCAGCCCTATGTCCAGCTGGTTGGCAGTCTGACAACTGTGCACCACTCCCGTGTAGGTGTTGATGGCTTTGACCAGCAAAACAATATTGTATGGGAACTGAGAGAGGAGGAAAGCAGTGAGAATCATGGTGATGATCTTCAGTGACTTCTGCTTTTGAAATCTTTTGGCTTGTAGGAGGGTGTTGATGATAAGGGCATAACAAATCACCATGACGATGAGCGGAAGGAAGAATCCTATGATTACTTTCAAGGCCAGGACCATAACTCTGAAGATCACACTGACATTTGGTGGGTACATAATTTTGCAAACTGTTACGTCACCCACCTGTGTGCTCTGGCTGTAAATGAGTTCTGGGATGCACAGGCTCACAGATGTCAGCCAGACAGCCAGGCACATGAGCCTGCTGCGCAGGAGCCACCTTCGCCTACAAGTTTTAGCTTTCATAGCTTGGACTACAGTGATGTACCTGTCAAAGCTGATGCAGGTTAGAAGCAAGCTGCAGCCATAGAAGTTGATCTTATACATGCTGTTGACAACTTTGCACATGAAGTCCTTAAAGATCCATCCATCGGAAGCAGCCTTGGCCCAGAAGGGGAAGGTGAAAAGGAGCAGGAGGTCGGCGATGGCCAGGTGCAACAGGTACAGATCCATCATGCTCCTCCTGAAGTGGTATTTGCAATAGACAAGCACGACCAAGGTGTTGCCCACTGTGCCCACAGCGAAGATGAGCCAGAAAAACACTGGCAGAAAGGCTTGAGCAAACTGCCTGACCTGCCTCTTGTCACACATGAAGTCTGTTCTGTTCACTGGGTTCTCACACAGGGACAGCACCATGCTGTCATTCCTGTAGTAATCCAGGCTACTCTTGCCAGGATGTGTGACCTGCAACAGGACATCTAGTAAATTTGTGTTGAGAAGCTCAGTAAAGCATACATTTTACCCTCTCCACCAGATGCAATTGAAGATGCTTAATGTATTCCATTTAAATGAGAAAGTACAAAGAATACCAGTGAAACAGGTCATTTCCGACTGCTTGGAGCGTGCAGCACAGAAGAGATTTATAAAAATGACCCATTGAGTGAAAAACTCACAAAAGAGCAGTTCATGACATCCAGCCAACTTCAGTTATTAAAATGGCAGGTGGTGAAAGCATTATGTCTGTCAGATAATTCAAACCATAGTTTCCTTGGCTTCAAACATATAATAAAAGGCAAAATGCCCAGCTTGGAAAGAGGTGAAGAAGTCTTTGTGTTCCTGCTACATTGGGATGGACCAGTGGCTCAAAAGACGCAGAAAACTGACAGAGACAAAGAGCGGGGGGGAAGGAAAAGGGGATGAACAGTGACATAGCTCTATACTCACAACATCTGCAGCTGCCATCTTCAGCCAGATCACTCCTCAGTCCTGAAAGAAGCTCCGTATTCTGGAGAGGAAAGATGGGGGAAAACAACTGATTTGAAACAACTCTGAAGCAGGACTGTGACTCTCTTCCTTATACTTCTTCTTCTTCTACCTTTAATAAAAACCTCAACTCTTTGAAACAAGTCTGGCCGGAAGATGAACAAACCACACAGAAATTGATATCGCTGATTTGAATTATTTACTTATTTTCATTTTACAAATTTACATTTAGCCTACATTAGGTCTCCAGCTTCTCTATGTCACTGTGCTGATTAAGTCCTTAGATGCACTACAGTCACTGCAATCTCATTTTTAACAACCTCTAGGCTCCCCAGTGTGCACACGTAAAAAGTAATCTAAAAGTACTGTATCTTGCAGAAGATTCATGAGAAAAAATGAAATTTTCCTCTTAAATTATCTAGCAACTAAGAAGGAAAAGTACCTGGCTTTACTAGTACTTTGCAATCTTAATTATTTGCATCCTCTGCAGCAAGTGATTAATCTCTACCTGCAACTTCTCTTTCTTATCTGTGAGTTTAGGCACAGTGCTCATTGCTGTTGGCTTGCAAAGCTGATCATTAAGCCCCAGTAAACAA